ATATATTTATTTAGAAATACTTCTAAATATCCAAAAATTCATATTTTCTAGTTTTATAAATTTTATATTTGTGTGATTTAATATACAATGACTGAGTCAAGTCAAGTATCAAGTCATGGTTGAGACAACACAAGAAATGATATGACTTCAATCACTTCTCGACAATCTCGACATTACTTCTCCTTCTTTAATGCTCATGTATTGTAACAATCAAGTTGTCATCTTCATTACCAATAATCCTACCTTTCATGAGTATATGAAGCACATTGAGATCAACTATCACTACATTTGAGATAAGATTATGTTTAGACTTATCTCTACTCTTTATGTGACATCATCTCATTAATTTACAGACATCTTCACGAAAAGTCTAGTCAGCATCTTCTATGATGTCACGTGTCCCAAGTTATATATATTTGACTTATATGGTTCAATTTGAGGGGAAGCTTTTGATAGTGATATATGCTCCAATTTGATATATTTGACTAGAGCTCATTATCTATCTCTCTCTTCTCATCTTTACTTTCTCCTATATAGGAGTCATACATTCTACTTTGATGTTTTATAGATTCTATGATTATTTCCTCTTATGTCAATAATTTTTTTATAAATCTCAGCGACAATAGATTTACAACTTTGACTATCATGGCACAATTCTCTTTAAAAAAAGATTATATAACATAAAATAGACTTCTTTGTGTCAATATCTCTAACTATATATATATCAATATAATATGTTAACACAAATGTGTCACTTCTAAAATTGTAAAAACTTTGGAGCTTTTCTTAAGATGTCTAAGTATTCACTTCAATATTGACTAATATTTTTTCTCTAAATTTGTAAGAAATTTGTTGGCAACACCTATATATGATGTTTAACTTTGTATAGACAATTACATAAATCAAGCTTCCAACTATTGAAACATAGAGAAATTTCTTCATCACTTAATGAGCTCTAATTTGAACAAAGTACGATATGATTAGTAAAAGAAAAACTAATTGATTTTGCATTGCTCATATCAAATATGTCAAGCACCTTTTCTATGTATTTTTTTGTGATAGTCATATATTCTTGGCTTCTCTATCATAGAAGATTTACATGTCTAGTATTTTCTTTACTAACCTTATGTATTTCATAACAAATGACTTGTTAAACTATTTCAGCTTGTCAATAATAGACATGTTATCAACATATAATAAGAGAATAAAAAACTTATTATTATATCATTTGATATATACACAATAATTTAAAATTATATGTATACATGTATTTTCAATCATAAATGAATCAAAGTTTTTATATCATTATCTTAAAGCTTATTTTAGCCCATATAAACTCTTCCTTAGTTTGCACACAAGATGTTCTTTGCCTTTGACTTTGAAGCCTTTTGACTGCTCAATGTAAATCTCTTAATCTAAATCATCATAAATAAATATTATCATCTGTCTAATTACTTAATGATCAAGAAATAGAACCACAGCAATGTCACAGTGAAAGTGAGTGAGTGTGTATTGAGAAACTTTAGATCTTAACAAACAAATATTTATTGATATTTCTCAATTATACAGTCACACTATTAATAGAAGTGTCAATTAATAGAAGTTATCTTAGAAGCCTAGTTAGGCCTAGGATAGCATTTCTTAACTTGGGACTCAAAATCAAGCCTAAAAGTGAACTTAGTTGCTCCATAAACCAAAACGCCAGAATCGCAATGAGGACCACCCACCCTCAACATCCTTCCCTCACCCACTACATACAGATACCTTAGTTCCCATCTTCCAAGCCCCTCCTTGTACACTTGAACTAGCCCCCATACCCAGAGGTGATACCCAATCTCAGCCATACAAGGCATGCTCTAAGTCTATGTTGGCAGCCGTACCTAAATCAACATGAATAGATTTCTTTTAATTGGAGTCTTTCACACTAATATAACTTTATACTTTGGTTATGAAAATTATTTTCAAGTCTTCAATTAGAAACTCATTTATTACTCATCTTCCTTCTCTTTTAGTAGTTGCATAAGATCATATATGTAGTTTTCTAATAGCACATTTATTTCTTCACATAAGTTGATAACCACTCAATGTTATGCTCACTTTTAATTACTTCTTAATAATTTTATAGTTAACTACATCACTAATATAATATACTTATAAGTGGATATCTTCTAGAAGGTTGATGTTGTCTATAGGACCTTAGACAAGACTATGTGAAAAGTTATTTTTTTCATTTCTTATGGCTCATTATGTTTTGTAGATAAGTCTATATCAATTTCAATAGTATCCACTTACTCATCTCCCCCTCTATTGTGATGTAGTAGAGGAGTGACTTAGTTACAATCTATAAATCTTTTGTAGAATTTTTAATTAATACTTCCTTCTTTGTGCCTACAATGATTTCATCTTCAAAAAAGGTCACATCTTTACTTCATAACACTTTTTACTTTTTTTCAATCCTAAAACTTGAAATCAAATTTATCATGTGAATAGCAAAAAAAATACATTCTCCTGTTTTATCATCTAACTTAGACCTCTTAATACTAGAGACATGTCCAAATGCATGGTAACCAAACACCATTAGGTGTTTGTAGGAGACATTTTTTCCTAACCATATATGTTCTGTAACATTGTCATTTAGAGTTATACATAATGAAAGATTAATTAAATCAACAAATATTCTTAATATCTCATCCAAAAACCTATTTGGTAGTTTGATATGTGATAATATGCATCTGATTTTTTCTATGATGGTGTGATTCATTCTCTCTACAACAACATTATATTGAATGTCAAAGACCACCATCTCATGACAAATAGCCTACATCATGTGGTAATCATCAAATAACCATGTATACTCACCACAATTATTTACTCTAATGTATTTTAGTTTTTTATTAATCTCCTTCTCCACCTTGATGTAAAACTCCTTGAAAAAATCAACTTGATATTTTGTCTTCAACGGATATGCCTAAACATTTTTAGAATGATCAACAATAAATGTAATGAAATAAAGTGTGCCACTAATGCTATGAACATCAATATAATTATCTGTAATCTTTGTCCTCAAAAGACCACAAACATCTATAAAAATAAGTTCCAAGACAAACATCTATAAAAGTCAAAAGACCACAAACACCACAACCATGTATCCCCCCCCTCCGCCGCCCGCAGAAGAACCCACCATGATCAGGGCTCCCCGTGCAGCTGCCGGCGCTCTTCAACCTGCCCAAGTCGCTGCTGCAGTCCTACGGCTAGCCGGTCTACTGTGTGGCGGAGGACATGCTCCGCCGCTGCAACAAGAGGAAAACCAGCTCGGAGAGGTTCACCTCCGTCGTCGCCTGGAGCATCTCCACCACAAGGCCCCCCCCATCTTCGGCCTCGCCCCCTTCAAACCCGTCCTCGGGGAGACCCACCACGTCTCCAAAGGCACCTTCAACGTTCTCCTCGAGCAGGTGAGCTCGATGGTCCGCCATAGCCGCCGCCATCGACGTCACTCGAATCCTCTAATTTTAATCCTCCCTATGACTTGCAGGTCTCCAATAACCGATGGTGGCAGGAACTGGTCCCGAGGTTCACCGGTGAGCCTGCTGAAGAGGCCGCCCCCCTCCACTCCGACCATCTTCTTCCCCGCTCCATATCAGGAGTTAGTGTCGCCGGACGAATGCAGGCACCGGCATCGAGACGCAGATCCAGGGGAAGAGGGAGGTGAAGCTGCGGAGCTTCGGGGAGAGCTACGAGATGGACGCGCCGTCGCTGGTGATCAAGTTCCTGCCGGTGCCGAGCACCGAGTGGGGGGGAAACGTGAGCATCCTCTGCAGGGAGACCGGGCTTGAGGCCGATCTCTGCTACTACCGGAGCCACCTCTTCCTTGGCTTCGGCTCGTCCTCCCGCGCCGTCAAGGGGAAGATCTTCCACTCCAAGACCCTGATGACGATTTACGAGATCTACGGCCGCTGGGACAGGTAAACCACGAACCCCCCTTCACCTTCTTCATCCATCCTCTTCTTCTTCTTCTTCTTCATCCGCTGCCTACCTGCATTCTCTGAGCTTCTCCGGTGGCTGCCATGTGGACGAACAGGCAGGTGATGTTGAAGGACGTTCACAGCGGGGAAGGTCACGGTCTTGTACGACGCCAAGGAGTGCATCTTCGGCCTGAAGGCGGCCACCGTGTGGGACCCACAGGTACGTTGAATCCGCGCCCTCCTTTCGAAATTTATTTCGGAAATAATGCGCCGCTGACTTCTTTCTTGGAATATGATCATAATTTCTAGAATACTTTTCATAATTATTTCACTAGTTTTTTATTTTTAAAAAAAATCAGGAAAATATGTTGTTTGGGAAATGCATTTTCCTAACAAATATATCTGCATTAAGCATGGTTAAAGACAGTTCCAGGGCAGGTAAAAAGGGTAATATTTTCTATATATAAAAAAAGGCCTGTTTGGTGCATTTGACCCGACTGTTGCGGCGCAGGCGGTGTCAGCGACGGAATCGGCGGCGGTGTGGGCGGATGTCAACAGAGCGCTTCTGAGCCGAGACTGGGAGGGCCGTTGAGGATGGGGGCGACACAGCTGGCGGCTGACAGGGACGCCACGGAAGCGATGTGGATCCCCCGTTTCTTCCACCTGGAGCAGACCGAGGAGGGAGGCTAGCACTGCTGGCCCGAGCACCCCGCCGTCCCCCCGGCGCCCATCGTGGTTCTCCCTTGACCTTGATGGGGCCTACTTAGGCCGGTTCACTTTTCCAAATGTTTGGATTCTCGGGCTGTTCTTCACCATTTGCGGATAAACCCCTGGAAAATTTGGGTATTGCATTGCCTAACCTCTGCGCGCGAACTTTATACTTGCGAAAATAAGAATACTATATTTTAGGGAGGGTAGTGATTTTGCGTAAGAGCCCCTCCTGTGCAATTGGTCTAAGAAAGAAGATAATTGCAAGAAGAGAGAGAGAGAGGAAGACCTCGAAGATGTGCTTCATCATCATCGTCATCATCGTCATCGTCATCTACTGTGGCCCATGGCGACGACGGGAACCCTAACCCGGTGGCCTCTGCTGCCCTTCATGAGGATCTCTCCGAAGCTGTACTGGCCGGTGACGGATCTGACGGTAAGGGTCGCCCGCAGCTCCCTGGAGTGGCCGGGGAGGAGGGTCAACGCCGGCGGCTCAACCTCCAGCGCCATCTCCGGCGACATCCTGGAGGAGACCACGTAGGTCTCCTCTGTCTCGTCAACGTTGGTCACCACCCTCTTCAAAGTAACGGTGCCCTCCACCCGCGAGACGGTGATCGACGGCCCGTTCAGCTCCGCCGGATGCCCGCCGCCTGTGCCGTTGCAGGAAGAGCTCGTGAAGCTCCTGATCTCGCGCGGGTCGACGTCAGGGATCGAGCAGAGAAACTGGATGTAGTCTCCATAAGCTGCCGGAAAGAAGAGGGGTTTAGGTTCAACATACAGAGAAAGAATGATCTCGTCTGTGTATTGTTACTACTATTATGTACTTGCCTGCGTCGAAGATGAGGCCAGGGTCTAAGGCGGCCTTGGGGCTGACCGCGCCGCTGCCAAGGTCAAACGGGGTCGCCGGAGCGAGGGTCAGCGTCTCACGGTCGGAGAACTGCTGCGCGAGGATCGGCCGGCCGCTCCGGTCCAGTGTGGTCGCCGTTGTCATCAGCGCCGACTTTATGGCAGCGGGGCTCCACCGCGGGTGCTTCTGCTTGATCAGCGCCGCAATCCCTGCAATGTGCGGCGCCGCCATGCTCGTCCCGGAGACCATCGCGAACCCTTCCCCTGCCCTCAGCAACAACAACAAAAAAGTCAAACACGATCTCCAAAGTCAACCACCATCAGATTGCTGGCTTGCTTACCGACATAGTTGGCCTCGTCGGTGCCGTTGGGGGACCAGGCGGCCCAGATAAGGTTCCCCGGGGCCAGAATGTCCGGTTTGAGGACGTCGGCGTCTTGGAAGCTGAAGTCCTTCACGTCGGGCCCGCGGGACGAGAAGGCGGCGACCAGCGGAGCTGACTTGTGGAGCGTCGGCGACAGGCCGTCCTCGATGGTCGCCACCCCTTCAAACTTGGTCGCCCTCCCAGCCCAGTCCCTCTTTGTCGTGGCGTTGTAGTAATCTATCAGCTCCTAAAAAAGTAAGAAAAAACGGGGTAAGTCAACCATCCACTTTGTTTCTGAGGTAAAAAAGTCGACGGGTTGACTTTACACCTTTGACTTGGCCACATCGACGATGAGAATTCCAGGGGTGCTGAGGGGGATCGGGTCGTACTTCACCCCCGGGGAGGTGTTCTCAACGACGAGCACGAAACCGGCGGCACCGAGGCTTCTGGAGGTCTCGGAGGCCCTCTTGATCGATGCAGTGCCGGAGATGAAATTGAACGAATACCCGCACAGGATTATCTTCCCTTTGACCACGTTCTTGTCCAAGAGCTCGGGCCGCTGGCAGTCGGAGGGGCTGTTCTTCACGACGGAGGAGCCCAGAAGGGCATCATTTGCGGCCACCAGGCTGAAGCTCTTGTTCCAGGGCGTCGATGCTGCGGCCCAGCCAGAAGATCACTCATGAAGGGCAACAACAGGAAGAGAGGGGGAGAGAGAGAGAGAGAGAGAGAGAGAGAGAGAGGAGATCAGGGAGCTCACGGGACAGGCCGATGCCGGGGATAATGTTCCCGTTTCCAAGGATGAGATGGTTCTTGTATCTCCTATCGTCAATGGCGGCAGCGACGGAGACGATCCACGGGCTGAAGGATATGATAGTCTTGGGGAAAGGGCCGCCATTACCGACTGCCTGGGCGACAAAGACTCCAGCTTTGACGGCAGAGAGGAGCGTGGCATCAAAAGGGTTCAAGAAGGTGGTTCGTGTGCTCGACGGGGGGCTGTTGGGTCCCACGGATAGATTGATGACGTCCACGCCATCACGAACTGCCTGTGGAGAAGAATTTTAATGCTTTGATTAATGAAGCAAGAGGGCGTGGGAGAAAGGGATTGAAGAGGGACGAAGAACTCTGATGAACTGGAGAAGAACCTGATCGATGGCGGCCACTACGTCTGATACAAATCCGCCGAAAAGCCTGTACAGGGCCTTGTACACAGCGATCCTGCTCAACTATGAGAAATTAATGAGAAACTTTGAAGGAAATTAATAATATTATGGCATGGGCATGGGAAGAGTTAGTTCGGACTCTGGTCAACGGCCTCTGACCTGGCGCGTGGAGCCATGCCACTGGCCTTGCCGAATTCATGCCCATGCATCCTCACCGGGATCCCATTGTTCCCAGCTGCAATCGCCGCTGTATGGCTGTGCGTCAACCACAAGATTCAGTCTAAACGGGAGGAGAACGATTGACCAATTAAAGTCAAACATATATGGGTAGAAGAAAAAAAGAGCGATTTTCCAAAAATGGGATGTCACTGTAGAGCTGCTGGGACCATCCATTCACATGGACAAGGCATCACAACGATGCACTGCAGCAAAAAATCTGCACTTTGTGAGAAATCCGAGTGATGAGAGTCGGCCAAAGGCAAACCTCCCATGCCCATCGCCATCCATGGGAGACGGAAAGTCAATCTCCGGATTAAACGCTCCTGCTGCAATCGCCGCCGCCGCAAAATGCTGCGCGCCGACAATCTTGCCATTGCAGAAGCTCCTCTTGGTCTCAGGGTCCACCTCACACTTCCCTCTGTAATGAGGGACGGGCTCGTACGGCTCGGAATCAAACGCGGCAAAGCTCGGATGGTGAGGAAATATCCCCGAATCGATGAACCCGATCACAATGTCTTCCCCGGCTTTGTCGAATCCGCCGCCATTGGGCCACACGCCAGTCGGGAGCCCCAAGAACTCGGGCGTGTGGGTGGTCAGCTTCTGCACTTTCATGTCCCTCTCAACGTACTTCACCCCCGGGGCACTGCCGAGGACCTCTGCCTGAGAACCAAAACAAGACCAATTATGACGACAATGGGTCACTGTATCGAGCCAGCAGGCACCAACTAGAAGCTTTGATCTACCTGCTCAGGGGTCATGTGGACGGCAAAGCCATTGATGAGGTGCCCGTAGCTGTACAGCTTCTTATAAGTCCCCGCCTCAAAGAGCGACTCGAGGAGCATATCGTGCTGTTTCTCAAGGTGGAGAGAATAGGATACGACGGATTCGCTGCAAGTGAAGAAGTAAGCAAAAAAGATTGCGATAAATTCTGATGAGATGAAGAACGGATGCGGATGACGATCTGGGCACCTGGTAATGTCGAAGTCATCGACGAGATCGATTGCAGTGGGAGGCAATCCTTCGATGCCGCCGCTGTAGCTCACCACCGGCTCCCCTTCCATGTTCACGATGTAAATCTCTCCATTCGCGAGGATCAGCAGGCCGAGAGCCACAACGACGGCGAGAAGCCCGTTCTCGCGGGCCATTATCAGATGATGACGATCTCGGAGTAAGCCTGGGGAGCAGACGAATTGTGAGCAGATCGAGGACCAGAGGTGAGAAAATAAGTTCCGGAAAATTAGGAGATGGGGAGATTAAGATCAGTGATGGAAGTGGGTTTCCCGGGGTTTGATCCCCGTTCCCAGTCCCTGTGGATTATCAGCGGAGGCATAGATCAAGAGACAGTAACTCGGTCTATAAAAAAAGAAGATCAAGAGAGCAGCAAGGATATTAACTATAAGGAGACTGTGGGAGAGTGTCCCCGACCTCAGTGACGCTTCGAGAACTCGAACAGTAAAAGCTGGAGCTCAAGGAGGAGAGGCCTGAGAGTTGGGGAAGACGGAAGTGCCCTGGAGCTTCATCTGAACGCTCGCTCCCACAGCCGCAGAGCCTGTTTGAAACATGCTTTCAAAGGTGGTTTTTCCGCCCACTGAAGGCTGAGAAGCGTGAATATCAGAAACAAGACGACGAACCCCGAGTCCCGGGGAAACAAAAACAAAGAAAGAACACTTCGATTACAAAACTAAGGCAAGTATAAAATATCGCGGCGATGATCCATGACCCAAAGGAGACGCTCACCCGTTGAGGGAATTCAACCCACGACAGTGAGAAGGAAAAAAAAAAAAGAGCTTCCTTTTCTACATGTTTTACCAGCGGAAGCACCCCGACATCTACCCAGTGAAGGAGATGGGGAAAGGAGAAGGAGATTAATTGAGAGAAACTTCCCTCGCTCGCCCATTTTTTCCCCGACCGAAACACCCAAAACCGGAGCATTCAAACCCAGAAGCCGGAGCTTCCCCAGCAAATCCGAGCTCAAAAGAACCCCAACCCGCGAATTATAGAGAGCTCGAGGGCCGGCACCGGGACCGACGGAGCAATGGCGGGGGAAGAGAAGGTGGCGAAGGGCAGCAGGAGAAAGCGGCTACGGAATGGCGGCGGGATTATTCGCCAGAACCTGATCCAAGCAAGGAATCGACAAACGGCGGCGAGATCTTACGGACCACGCGGCGCCAGGACTGGCGACCTGCCCTCACGTATCTGGCGGCGACAGCAGCAGTGAAGAGAGAAGGGGATGATGCAACGGCCTCACGTATCCGCCATCGCAGCACCTGCACCCCGATCGCCGAGGGGAAGCGATTAAATGCTAGGGTACTCCATCTAGCAACCTCCCTTCACCAGGCGGGGACCCCTCTCCCGATATTAACACCTCTGCCACTGAGAATGATAGAGAAGAGAGAGAGAAAAGCGGAGGAGGTGGATTGGATTGATGGAGACGACAGTGGAGACCAGACGGTGGAAAGGATATAAAGACTGCATAATTTGGGTCAATCAGCTAGTGACATGTCATGAAAGCGGTGCGCTCACTCGGGGGACGATTTAGCCTAACCGGTGACCGCCATTATGGGCCGGCAGTCGCTCTTTTGACGCCTGTCGGCGCATGAAACGAGGTTTATATATATATTTATAAAAAATACATATTATTTCAGGCACTGGCCTAAATTAGTCTATTTATTCCGTTTTATCATCAAAATTGGACGCCAAAAAATTAAGAAAATCACTTTATTGGGTCCACCCTAGTTTTCATGTCCCTCTCTCTCTCTCTCTCTCTGGATTCCAACTTTTTTTTTTACGGGTATAATAGAAGTTTTCTAGGGAAAAATATACATATTTTATTAAATAATATATTTAATAATTATAGAATATTCTCCAAGTTTAATTATTCATAGCAATATTATCTCTATACACTTCCTGACGGGTCTTGGTGGGATGGATGCATGTACACGTGGCAATCCACGTGGGGGAGCTCATGATCTTTTCATATTAGGGTGTATGCGCAAATGTCAGAAGACACTAGCTACTGCGCCAAGAAGGAAACATGAAGTTCAACGGTTGGGATTGGATCCCCGCCACCGTCTCGAGGATCGGAGCCGTTTAATTAAGTATAGTATGCGTAAATTCCGTATCACCTCCTCCAGTTAATTAATTGCAAAGTTGCCTCGTTAATTGGGCCAACTAAAAACCCGTAGGCCCACTTTCAAATACGACAAGGATGTTGAGGAGGGGTGCCCGTGTGTCCGAGTTCTGTCACCGACGGAGAAGCAGACAATCCGCTCACCGGGCTCCCGCGGTCGGCTAAAGACCTCATCACATGGCTTGCTCTATACCGGCCACTCTCACAGGGAGAAGAGAGAGAGAGAGAGAGAGAGAGAGAGAGAGAGAGAGAGAGGAAGTGGAGCGTGAGAGGTCAACCGTGGGCGACGGGCAGGTCTCCTTCACCATGAAGGAGGGGGTTACTGTGTTTGGCATCACTTGTTTTGCCCTCGAGCCAGACGGAGACGAGGAGTGGAGCGGGCCTCGTGAGAGTTTGGCCTTTTCCATCCAGAGGTATGGCCATGGTTGCCGGATGAGTGCTCTCATTCCTCCCTTGTTCCTTGTCCAACCTTCACATGGGCTGTCCTCGACCCGTGCCCCACAACGAGAGAGAGAGAGAGAGAGAGAGAGAGAGAGAGAGAGAGAGAGAGAGAGCCCTTTTGAAGAAGACCCTCGCCTGCATGCAGAAAACCTACAGTGGTATGTGGGCACCAACCCATTATTGTTGTTGATAATTCTCCAAAAATATGGAGATGTCTTATCCTGGACAATGTACCCATCCCCCCCTTGCCAGAACATGACTGGTTAGGTAGGATGAGGCCCCTTAACACCCTTAATCACAACGAGAGTGTCATAGAATATTAACTAAGATTGAGGTCATGACAGTGATAATTTAATTCATTCTCTACTTGCAGCCATTTACTTTTGTTGACTCATTCATATGTCGCATGCTAAAGGTTTCACCCATTACATGCACATCACATGCTATGGCATGCACGTTTTCCATTGTATGTTGTGGGTAGAGAAATAATAATGTCCCCCATTTAGCGTATCTAGCTTGTCCCTTTTATCTATGATATCTATACTAAATAGTCGTTGATATTGGCAACTCTCTTGAGTCATGAAAGAATGTAATCAAATACATGCTTAAATTACAGTCATTTAATTGAAATATATATTTGTGATGTGTACATGTGACTTACTTGTGTCAAATATGTATATTAAAATATTTGGGATAAGGTTAGAGGTTGAATCTATTTTTTCGTCAACTTACATAATATGTGATTATTGGTCAGACTACATATCATGATATAGGGCTGAATCCAAGATTCTCTATTTACATCAAATATAAAGTGCCCTGGTTGATTGGAAAATAGCCCTATCTCCAAAAGAATATTCTAGATAACACTAATTTAAAATAAAATAAGTTTTTTTTCTGTTTATGCAACTATTATGTATACAAGTTTGTGGTTTTATAGAGACTAACTACTATGGAAAACAACAAGGGTGAATTGATCTTTTTTGCTTCATCTCTCTTAAACTCGTGGAATAGAAATTCAAATTATAAAACCTAGATTTATATTTGTCCATATTGATCCTAAGGTGAGTAAGATAGAATGCAAAGAGAGGAAATGAATTGATTTTCTAAAATATTTTCTCATTTTTACATGTTTTTGAGTTTCTATCTCAATTGAATACTATGGGCCAACTAAGTTTATTTTGGGTCAACACATTAAATTGAGTCAACACACTAAGAGTGACATGAGCACATAGACTAATAGTGGTTTGGTCTTTCTTATCTTACTTTTACTTACTTAGGATTTCTACCCTTGGTTTCTAGTATTTTTCTTATAAAACTACAGCTTAAATTTGTGGGATTAACATATCACTTTATATGGTAGATTTTATGGGTCTATCTTCCTACACTAGACATTAAGCCACTAGCTTGTATTCTTTTTTCCTTCATTACTAGCGCTTATTACAATGACTTCACATAAATATATGAATAAATAACTTGCAAATTAGTTTTTTTTTATGATAAGATTAGGTTCCTTGATTTCTGAAGATGCTTGGAAGTTTAAGGAAGTTTGCGATAAGATTATTCTTGTAGTAAAACCTTGATAAGTGACTTCAAAAAAATTAGGTGGATTTGATTTGTTGTTGAGGTGAAGTAATTAAAATATGAGATGAAGTTGTTGATTTTTAGTATGAGATGGTGGATATTATGTAGCAATGAGATTCAATCTCACCCATGCTTTCTTTCTATCTACTCAATCTGAAGAGTGTACACTTGAATATGGTCACACAAACATCATAGTTAGACCAATAAATATCCTCATGTCGTACAATGTTTGACATTGTTAATCCTCAATCTCTAGCATGAAATACACTACAACTAACTACGTCAAAGTTATTTGTACCTCTATTCGTGGTTGCTATCATCTACTAGTCCCCTAACTCATGCATCCATTATTATTAATCCAATCGATAATTGTTTGAGTTTTTACTTCTCAAACATATATGACCTCCAATATAAATGTTATACATATAGTTTTTAGGTTGAAATTAATTTTTGAGCTCCCAAAAAAATGAATGAGAAATGATGAACATGATCTCATACGAAATGTTTAATTATTTGATCATCAATAGCAATTGCAAATGCGTTTGGAACTTTGACCCTCATCATAGATCTCCTTGTTGACAAATCATTTCATAGGTAACTCAATTCCATCACCTCTTGTGTAGATTTATCTAGTATTTCACACGAACTTTTCCAATCCTCATCTTATTTCATATAGTAGGAATACACGAGTGACTTCACAAGTAGTTGATTATAAAAATTGAACAAATCCCTCAAATAATTGCAATCAACCCTAGATTGCTTAAATCTAAGACTCGAGGTCCTATGTGCTTACACCAGAACTAGAATGTTCTGCTTAATATAGATAATACGTTAGTCATTAATTCTAGTATCTTAGTTAAATTTCAACGCATTATTTCTTTTATTACGTAAGAAAAGTCTATGAATTACCTTATTCCATACACCGCTCCAAACTTGTGAAGAACAATATTTGATTTGGGCTTGGTAGGGGTGCGCCAGGCCCGTGCAGTAGTGCAACGCATGGACGACGCTTGAGGGCCCCAGTGGCAAGCCACTGTCGTGGACCCTCCCCCACAAGAAATTAATTTAATATCATGTGGGTCGATGACCCACGTATCAGATATTAAACTGATAAGAACAGATACTACACTTGATCTTAGCCAAAAGGCCGAGAAAGGTATGAATTTTCCCGTCGAGACTCTGTTATTTTTATAGTTATTTCCCGATGGTGAGAACATAAACTTTCGATATGGGACTAATAGGGGTGCAGCCAATCCTACGGCCGGTGATCATTACAGCCAGATGGATGGATCGAAGGGTGGAGCGGGTCGAGGAGGGAAAGTAGTGTGGCGGCTTCGGCGGCACGGGCATGGCTTGCCGCCACGGTTGCGGTTCGAAGAGGTAGGAGAGCGGGAAGAGGGAAGGAGATGAGCGACGACTCTCGGGGAGGATCCCCAGACTGGCTGCGTAATTTCCAGGTGTGATTTTCCTTCCTTTCTCTGCATTCCTTGTTAGTTTTTGTCGTCTTTGGGCTCGAGGGAGTAGGTTTCGGTCGAAGAATGTATTCGATCTTTGATCTCGTAGTGCTGCAGATCATTTGACGAGGAACTCACCAAGGCTCGATATTATAAGGATTTTTTTTTTTCAGAATTTGATGCTCTGTGATAGTCTGGTCGTGGGTTAGCCTGCGTGAGAACACTGAGCTCTAGGCAGACGTTATTTTTAGAATATTATCCCCTGAAAATAGATCCATTCAGCAAAAGCAGAAAGATGTGAGCAAGATGTTTAAGTGCACGCTTTGAAGCGGCAATCCAATTTGGAGGCGATAATGTATTTTTCATTTTGTTTCGTGATAACATTGCGCGTTTAATCCTGTGAAAATGGAATCCGTCTGCTTTGAATGCGTGAGAAGAGTAGCGGAACGTACGTATGAACTTTTGTGTTGATGATTATTGTTCCATCGTTTGGCCAGACACCTGCTACCGGCTCCATCCATTCGTTGTCTTCAGATTCGGGTTCTTCACAGATCAATAGCTCCGTTAGGGACAAGGATGGCGACCATCATGGAGAACTGGTTGGGCAATCACCAGTGAAAGAGCCAAGCGAGAATCCTATTCTCATTGACAGTGGGAATGAGAGTCCGGAAAACCGGGACAAGGGGGTTCAAAACCCAAAGAATCAGAAGCGAACAGCTCCTAATAGATCTTTGAAGCACTCAGCACAAAAGAAAACCGGGAATCAGGGAAATCATAAGAGAAACGGAACGCAAGCAAATAATCATGATGTACATGAAGGTTGGTGTTGATGGAAGTGATTATATTTGATTAATTCCGGATCAACCGAGCTTGATGTGCTTCAATGTAAAAAAAATTTAGTCGCTTTTTTACAACTTGTTCGTCATATTTTATGTTACGCAGGAATCAGTGATGTGCACGAAAGGGAACCTGTGGTGGAAGATGCTTCAGAGAAGCCGGTTATGTCCAATGTAAGCTCCTGGAATGTCACTGGTGTGTCTGATTGTTATGCTTCATGCTTAATGAAGCACCTGTTATATATTCTATCAAGTTACCTTCTGCCTTTATACAAAATGCAGTTTGTTAATAATTTTATTCGCGTAATTGTAAAAAAAATGCCATTAAATCCATTGAATTTAGGGCGTTACTTCATGCAATATATGTCTTTATGATTCCAGGTCTCCTCAAGGTTGCCTCTGGTGATATCTGACAAAGTCCACCGTTCTAAGGTACCCTTATTCACTGCAACTGTTGAAATGGTAGATTGAGTGTTTTCTCGGATTAGGTGGTATAGATTATAACATCAGAGCAATTTCTTTATTTCTTCTTTCTTAAAGATGCATATATACGTATGAAATTGTGTGTAATCTGTCGCAGTTCTTTTAGTCCCTGTAATTCTCTTCATTGATTATTCACGTTTACAACCCGTCAACGATTTAAATGGATGGTCGAACATTCTCATCCCCAACACCTCCTCACCACCAAGAAAAAAAATGGAAACAACTTTGTGTGAGAACTTCTCTTCTGAAGCCACTTATCTTTGAAATTTATGGAGACAAATTATGTGGCTAAATGAATGGGAAGTTTTCTTTCTGATATATTGTTTAAGTTATCTTAGATACTGGTGCAGAGCATTCAGAGAATTTTCTCGTTAACTTTCTATTTGTGACCCTCGTCATAACTGCAGATGTTCTTCTCCCATACAGGCACTAGTGGAATGTGATGATGAGTCTATAGACCTTAGTGGAGATGTTGGTGCAGTTGGACGGATCGTAATTTCGGAAAATTCTAATGACAGTCATGAAATGCTCTTAGATCTGAAAGGTTGCTTCTATTGCAAGCCTCTCTCCCTCCCTCTCTCGCTCTCTCTCTCAAATTTGTCAAATGTGATAGAACAGATGAAAGTCACACTTGCCTTTCTGATAATTCATGATGAACGTTAAATTCCTTCCTCTGTTGAATGGGCAGTAAGGTTTGGGTATCATGCTATTTGTGTTCTTGCTGTTTATAATGTCACTGTTTGAGTTGCCTTTTCTGTCCATTGATAGGCCCTGAAAATACAAAACTTTCCTTGCTTCAGATGTGGTCAGTGTTATTATTCAACTGAACATATTAGGTTCTTCATTTGGCTCAACAAAATCAAACTATTCTCAGGAAAATGAGGAGATTCCTTTCATAAAATAGCTCATCTGTGTCAACTTCAATTGTCATAGAACACCTTCTTATTTTTCATGTTTCATGATTTCTGCAGGAACAATATACAAAACAGCAATAGTCCCTTCCAGGACTTTTTGCGTTGTAAGTTATCAATCCCCATCTCGACATTCTCTCTCTCTCTCTCTCTCTCTCTCTCTCTCTCTCTCTCTCTCTCTCTCTCTCTCTCTCTCTCTCTCTCTCTCTCTCATACACACACATACCGATCAACGTCCTCTCAAAGATAAACTTGTCCTATTCTTTTCAACTACTATTCTGCGAGTGTAACATCCATATATTTGTGCAGGTCAGCTTTGGACAGTCAGAAGCCAAGGTTTGTCTGCTTAGAATCTCAGCATTTATTGTTCTACTTCTTCAATTTGTTTCCAGATTGATAGTGAGCATATTCTCTTTTTTTTTCCTCTAGAAATTAGAGTGATTTTTTATCTCGACGCGAAAGGTGGTTGTTTACATTTGACATATTACATAAGGATATTTTTGTTTGAACATTTTGGCAATGGAGTGAGAGATGCTTCTGTGCATACATTCTTTGATTTTTATCTTAAGTTTTTTGTAATAAATTGAAACCTCAAATGGTTCCATTCGTTTTTTCAGTACAAAATAAGTGCTGAGTGCATATGTTTTCCTATTCATGCTAAAGATTTCTGAGTATAGCTGTCAAATGGTCTTCCTGACATTATACTATCCCCCATTATATTCGAAAGAAACTAAAATTGTCCTTTGAGCTTGTGATGGAACTACCATAGCTGTTTCCAGATTTCGTCTTCTTCGTTGAAACTTCAATTCCTATGTTATGATTTAATTATTCAAGCTATATTTTAGATAGTTATTTTCATAAGAAGCAGTTACCCTTAATTTTGTACCTCGTAACCATTTTATGTGTGCTCATTTGATGTCTCTCCAGATAGAGGCTATCATGAATGATTTTGTCCAACTAAAGCCGCATTCCAGTGTGTTTGAGGCTGAGACAGTGATTGAAGGTTAGATATTTTTTCAGATAATCTTCTTCTTCCTGTGTCCTTCATTTACCACAAGATAAATGGTATTTTTTATATTCCCATTGGCTTTTTAGCACTGGTACCTTAAGTTTATCTGCGTCATTTCTTTTCTTCATACATTTTTTTCTGAGTGGTGTTCTCATTGCTTTATCCTAGACTCTAATATTAAAATATTTTGTTTGCGGTTCATGATTATACCTACTTCTGTATAAAGGTTAAAAGAAAAAAGCTGTGCATATTATCCTCAGTAGACTATAGACAGTCACTTAAACATTAGAGCATCTACCTCAAATGGAAGATCAGTAACTTTTTCACATCGTAAAAAATTGCTTTGAATGAGCAGAAATGACATTATGATTTATAGTTTTGAATTAGTTACGGTTGGCAGCGAACTATTACTGTTTTACAGCAGTGTCACGCCCTTTCACGATCAGAAACTAGACACCAAGTTATGGTTCTTGGTTACAATCTTTGACTTTTGATGCTCTGTTATTTTCTTCTTCAGGAGTTCTTGATGGATTTTCATTTGACATGGATGATGAGGGCGACCGGGCCCCTAAATCTTCTGCTTATCAAGGTGCCCATGGTGATAAAAGTGGAGATCATGGTGACGAGAAGAGTCAGGAAAATTCTGACAAGTCATTGGTAATGTTGCATCTGCCTGAATCACTTCTTTCATATCACTTTGTTTGGAACAGAAAACCCATTATGGTTTCATTCCTTTGTTAACTGATTGAAATGTGAACGGTTGTGCGCATAGCCTAGACTTCAAGCCTGTTTATGGATAACTCCATGTTTCTACTATATTCACCTTCAGATTTTAAATATAACCTAGGACGGCATGTAGCTTTTTCTGGAGTTTGAAAGAGGGTGCATTGTAATTAACAAAAAGTAGAGAAACAGCCTAGAAATCTACAATCCTAGTTGAGCTAGAGAATATGGGCACTCATACAGTGTTGGAAGTTTTAGGTCGTAAGAAAATATTGTAAAAGACTGAGGGTGTTCTTCAAAAGTTGTGTAAGGTTCCTCCCTATATAATGGGTGTTATCCCCTCTGTCCTCTGTGACAGAGGTCATTGTTCATGTTCCTTTGATTCGCAACTTAGAGACTAATTGGTTGCAACTTCACGAGATTTAAAAGACAAAGTATATATTATTCAGAAGGATGTTCCACGAATATAGAATATTGCTCTATTATTTAATATTTTTTTATAACTTTTGACAAATACTATTCGCAGGGAGTCAAGCGCAAGAAGGCTACAGTTGCTGCAAAGCCACCGAAGAGAGTAGCGAGGAAAATTCAAACCTCGAGGAAAGCAAAAGTCTCTAAGAAGTAAAGGTATCATGCTTTCTAGGACAATTAAACCCATTAATTACTTGTGATTATTAAATTCTTGATTCTGGAATAAAGTGTAATATTTTAGAGAGGAATTGTAACATTTATATCATGCTCTTCATTTGCTACTTGCATAAGTGAATGGAAAGTCAGGTGAATGCTGGATTGAATTGCTAGGCCGGCTTTTCTTGTTCTGACCTGTCATAATATGAATTTTTCACTGGCCATTTTTGTTGATTAATTTATTTTTTTGTCACAGCTGAGCGCCGGGATCCTCAGAATCTATGATTAAATCATATTGGGCATGCCCATCTCGATGATGATTAGACGACATCAATGAAAGTTCATCGGCGGCTGTCTCCATCTCTCCACTGCAGTAAGTTGCCTCCCCAGCCAGCTTGAATCGAGCAGATTTGTCTCTAAATTCCCATGGATTAGACACCTGGAGGAGCTGATCAGGTCCCAGGATTTTTTTCCTTTTTTTCTTTTTTCTTCGGATGAATTTGATTATTGTTGAGAAATCTTCGATTATTATGTTCCCTATTTGATGCAAAACACTCGTCCTTCATTGTTAGTGTGATGCGATTGCTGATTATAGCCAGTGATGTGGGCATTCAGTGTATGAATTCTGAACATTTTTATTTTCTTGGGCCTAATAAAAATCTCTACTTTCTGTGATTCTCTGGTTGATTGATTGAACTTTGCGGGCTGTGTGTGATCTTGTCGACATTGGGACTGATGGTTGTTAGCTAAGCTCATTTTCCGGAGCCAATTGAAAAATGAGAAAGAGAGAGAGAGAGAGAGAGAGAGAGAGAGAGAGAGAGAGAGAGAGACTGTCCAGAGGATGAGCATCGTTTTCTTCCAAACTCAGTCCTAATGCTCAAAAAATGTGGAGAAAACCGAACCAGACTGGTTGAACCTCACGTGGTCTGATGGGATTAGAGAGAGAGAGAGAGAGATGACTGCCAGGATTTAACAAGAAAAATAAAGAAACAGAGCCAGATTGATTGAACCTCGCGAGCTTTGGCTGGAATCTACCCCCTTTATACCCCTCCTATTCCAGAGGACAGGCGCAACCCAGCTTGTGAAGCCACAGCAAGCGAATAGCTCCTTGCATGGACAACAAGCCTTTTGAAAGCCAAATGGAGAAACATCCGCACCAGAAAGAAAATCTCCATCATTACTTCACCTCATCATCCTCATCATCATCATCAAGGGCCTCGTCTTCGCTGCCAACGGCCCTGTCGGCAGCTGCTGCATTGAGCTTCTCCTGGGTCATCAAGAACTTGCCTGTCATGGGGTTCACATGCCGGGTGTCGCGTGGGCCTCCCTTCCGTGCCAACACGAGCATTGGCGGCGGTGGCAGCAACCCAGCTCTGAAGAGGAGGCGTTGAACTGGCTCTGATGGCTGCGCGCCGACTGACAACCAGTACCTGAACCGATGTTCCAGGAGAAGAAAGGTTACAGACAACTAAAGGGAGAGGTGTTCTAGCAGAATTGTTTGATTCGATAATCTCTTCATTGAACAGAGGTGGATGTCTCTGGGTGAATCCCACATGATTTTGGGAATCGAGAAAAATAAGAGATAATGGCAAAAAAGGGAACATTTTGCCGAATTAAGGTTCTCGGATTTTTCATCTTCTATATCTTCATCACTATCTCTACTTGGAGGACAAGAGAAGGCCGTACGAGTGCGACCACAAGCAAGAAGATTTTTTTCTTGGCATCTGATGGATCCTGATCACAAAAGTCAACCCGTATGGATTTTTACAAGAAATAGCTGAAACCACATATCCTGAATGGGAAAAAGGAAGAACCAAACGAGCAGTCAACCGGGGGCAAGAAATAGAAATGTATCTGAATCAATCGTCAGCATCGATGGACATGAAACATGCTTCAAATACAATTGAGCATTCCAGCTATGGAAGATCGAACTCGAATGATGCATTCATTGGATCTTACAAATTCTGGGCACAGTTCCTTCATTATAACAAATCTCAATTGAACACATGACACAGTGAAATTTTTATAAAGCAAGAACAAGTGCCATTGAACTTTTGCCACGATCAAATAGTGAGGTTTTGGTGCGAGACACGGGCTTTCCAGCATGTTTCAGACAGGGTTTCTAGGGAATAAGACGTAAAACTGAGGAAGCCTGGGCGGTAGCACGTCAAATGAATAGAATCTGATTACCAGTTTGAGGACCTTTCTTAAATGGAATCAAAGCTAATGTGGAACAGGAAATGGATGTGAATAATTTGGCACGAACCCGCTGGAAGAATCGCCAAATGGAACAGATCTTGGACAAGAATCTAGCAGCAAGCTCGTGGGGGATGTCTGGGGAGCAGACGATCAATCATAGAAATCATCTAGGAACAATATATATTCATTAAGTAATAAGTAGGGCCCACCCGTTACTAGATCCATAGAAATTGTGACATGATATTGATGAACAACGTTGAGAAACTAACTAAGACAACCAGTTATTTGAGAATTAATTTCCACAAGATCATCACCGATTTTATTAACCTTCAGACCTCGGATTTTCCGAAAAGTTTTGTGTACGACGAGACATCCATTTTCCATGAAGAAAATGGAGTGCTTTGAGTACACTCAGAGAAAATGATTCCAGGTCGATGATCACGAAAATCATCTGTCCAAAGAGAAGAAAATGTGATACTAGAAACAAAAAAGATGGAGCGTAGAAGAAGAACAAGAAGAAGATGGATCAACAGAAGAAGAAACATCGACAGAGGGACCATTTTCAGCAAATTAAAACCTGCAGAAGGAAAAAAAAAGAGAAGAAGTTGACTCACTTGACTCTGTCGAAGTTCAGGCCCATCCGCTTACCACCATCCTGCCCTGCGCAACAGAGATTCCAAAGTGGATCAAACTCCACTCATTCGCCCATCAGATTTCACCAGGAAAACCCTAAATCGAGGTCCCTCCGGGGAGGTGAACGAAAAAACCGGAATGATGCATATCTAACGATGAACCGAATGAAGTATAAATGAAATTGCATCAGGGACAAACGGAATCAATCCTTCGACTACCGGAGATCAGTTTCGTGAAGTCATCGCGAGGAAGCCGAGAATCAAGCAATGCGGATAAACGAAAAAGAGAGAGAGAAAAGGAAGATCAATGGGATAAGAAGAAGGCAAGCACAGAATAAATATCGAGTGTAGCACCTGGGAGAGGGTTGTAGTAGCCGAGGATCTCAAGGTGCTTCCCGTCGCGCGGGGACCGGCTGTCGGCGGCCATGACCCTGTAGAACGGTCTATTCCTGCACCCCAAACGCGAAAGCCGGATCCGAACAACCATCTCCCTTCCTCCCTTTCGCCTCTTACAACCTCTGCTTCTTCTTCTTCCTCTGCTACTACAGGTTTTAGGGCTTTGGGAGGGGGCAATCAGTCGACTGAACCACATTATGGACCTAAATAATTGGGCCTTTTACTTATGGGCCCATGTCATTTTGTCTCGTTTTACGGCCCATTAGAGGTCTTAAACTATTCTTTATTTTTATTTTATTTTTTTTTCTCAGGCACTGCCAGCACAGATGTCCACATGGCGAGCCACGCTGGCATTCCTACAACACGTGGCATTAAAGAAGAGAAACAACTCGCTCCTCCTTCCCGGACGTCTAATTAACGAGAAAAATGGTCGGGAATAATTATTCCTGCTTTAACAGAAAATTAAAGCGGCATTAAATAGAAAATATGGAATCTCGGAGAGATTTAACTACAAGCAGTACTCATTGTTTTGGGCCGACCTACATTCGGCCATTTTGGTCCCTGGGTCTCTCTCTCTCTCTCTCTCTCTCTCTCTCTCTCTCTCTCTCTCTCTCTCTCTCTCTCTCTCTCTCTCTCTCTATCTATCTCTCTCTCTCTCTCTCTCTATCTCTATCTATCCATCTATCTATCTATCTATCTATCTATCTACCTGTGACCAAGCCCACTGATAGACAGGCCAAATCCTCATCCATTAAAAAAAAAATGGAAAAAATTAATATCACTCATCTGTTACATCCCTACAAATTACAACTAAAAAAGGGCTGCCCTTTTTGTTCCTCCTCAAGTTCACAAGGATTTAAAAAAAAAAACCAGCATCCACTCCAATTCTCAGAGGAACTGATGAATGCCCGTCGCACAAATCCCTGACGCTGAAGAACAGTCCACCATCAGAAGATCCTCCGCCATCACTGCTGGTTCTGCTGCTGCCTCTGCTGCGGGTAGTTAGGGTTCTGGGCCGAGCTCTGGAGACCTCCCATGCCCGGCTGGAGGCTCTGGGTGTTCATCCCTGGCTGGAGACTATGAGGATTCCCACCCATGTTCATGCCGTGCTGCTGGATTCCCACCACTCCAGCAGGGTTTGACCCGCCGCCCATGTTGAACATTGCTGGAAGAACATATGATCACCCACCAAGAAAGAGAAAGATTTGATCAGTGATTGTCCCATGGTTTCCACGAATATTATGTAAAATGAAATATTTTCCATTTTTTCCTCCATTTATTTCAGCAGAAATCATGAGATCACAAAAGTGAATTACTCTCTCCTGGAAGAAATAATTGGAATTAACAAGAGTAGGAAATAAATAATGAAGGTTTTTATCAAAAAAACTTATTATTTTTTTATATCAAAGTAATAAATCGGTTTGAATACAGTAGATTCTGCAATTATTTCTGAAATTATCCAAATAAAAAATAGACAGAAAAAAAATATATACCACGTACTTTGGTCATTTAGGATTTGGGAAGGGAGATTCCGCTGAGAAAGGCCGCTGGATAAACCATACTGAAAAACATAAAAAAGGTAAATTAACATTTATAAATATTAGAAATATTATTTTCCTTGTAGAATAACGAAATAAATAAACCACAGATCCATGCACAGGCCCAACTCGGACTGGCTCAGCCGAACCTCATGAGTCTGGCTGACAGGCTACTAGCCATCTCCGAAACTCTCTGAGTCTAGTGATTGTCTTATCCCCAATACCACATCAGATTGTATGTTACCCAGATAATCAATAGCCATATCTCATTAATCTCCGGTCATCTAGGTTGCATCATGTGCCCATAAATCTTGGGCAAGAACGGTCACAATCCCAAAATTGGAAAAGATGACAGCTTTTTTCCCGTGTTTGTGGGTGATCCAGAGAGAGATTCTAAGCTTCATAAAGTTCTTGATTTGTCTAATTAAAAAAAAAAATCGACAGGAATGTGGATACTCTCTCCAAGATCTACAGATGCTAGCAAAGATCTGGTACAGATAAATAATAAATTAGATGAATGGTATTAGTAGAAAGAATTTCAGCTTCAGTGAGTAATCTTGTTATCAGATGGAAGGGCATGGAGAGGGGAAACTCCTGGCGATGGTGATGAAGTCAGGCGTTGACCGAGGAGTGGTGAATTAACATGCAGGGGAACGACTTGATGGATTGGCCCACGACCCAACTGATGGATCAAAAGGGATGTATACGATTCTTCTCATGCAAAAGGAACCCACCATCTGATAACAAGATGGTGGGTTCCTTTTGCATTTATTAATCTCTCTCTCTACTCTTTTTCAAGGGAAAACAATATAGAGAGAGAGAGAGAGAGATTCTTCAGAGAGAGAGAGAGAGAGAATATAAGCTAGGAGGAAAATAGAACAAAAACTCACAAGTTGATACAATCTCAAGCATGAGGCAGAGGAAGATTAAAGTTTAGATATTGTTCGAAAAGTGGCATAAGGAGTGAGGACTACCTGCGTTCTTTGCAGAAGAGACTGTGATGGAATTGAAGCCGACATGTTTGACATCTGGAAAACAAAAAGAAAAATACTAACTAAGTTTCATCTCATCACAGATATCCTGATACATATCTAAAAATAGAATTACAATTTTTCAATGGCTAGCAGGGAAATCAAAACAAAGAGGCTTCTTTCTAGTTGGCACACTTAGTTTGTAAGAATTGGAAATAACATCTAAATTTATAAAAAAATAAAAATGGAGTCATCTACAAGTCAGAATCGTTTCACATATTTCTCAAACAACAATGAAACCAGTGCCTTGCCCACACACAAAATCGGAATCAGATAAAGTACCAACTGAAATGTACGAAAACTAGTGATGAATTTTAAGGATTGCCTATTAAGTCGGATGAATTCAGGGACCTTGGCCATGCGTTGCTCTGGGAATAGATTCGAAATCGTGATAAGGTCGAAATCTTCTTAAGATATGGATTATTTCCACAATTAGCAGCCAGAATGAACATTTTGCTAGGTTTGACAGGAACGGTTGAGCAATAATGTTCCGAAAGAATCGAAATCATAGTGAGAGATTACTAAAAGAATGGAATACGATGGAAGACTAAGATACAGTCAAATCAGCAAAAATAAGAAGAAAATGTGTTAAGGATCTAACCATCTGTGAATTTTGTGATGTTTGTACTGCATTAAACAAATTGGTGTTAGCAGACCCAGCAAATTGACCCAGATGGCTCCTTAATTGATTGCCTTGGTTAATTTGATTTTGTGCCATGTTATGCTGAAGATGTCCAGATTGAATCTGCCTGTTCTGGAATTGTGGTTGTGCCAGTGACTGAGTATACTGCATCTGATGCTGCCCAGATACCTGAACCAACGAAAATTTGTTGCGAAATGTAAATGATTCTGAAATTAATTTAGAAACAGCATCAATTCTAATCTTAAATTTAATTTCTAAAAAGCTACACAGCAACACTTTGAATGGAATTGATAAAAAAATCTAATAAAAAATATACCGTCTGAAATTTTTGCTGGGATTGCCCTGGTAGATCATGTAACTGAGACATTGTACTCTGAAAAATTAAGAAAAATTATTGAAATATTTAAAATCAAGACAATAGAAAATCTACCATGTCAAAGCCATAAATTATTCACACAGCGCATTGAGCCCAATGATTCTAAGAGCCAACCTCACAAGTACCTGGAATCCTAAAGCCAGAGGACCAGCGCACTGCCCCCCCTCAACCCTCCCCTTTTTTTTCGTTGTCCCTTCTTCTGGCAAACATAACCCACCCATCAATCCTTCTTGCAATCATGGAAGGACCGTCTCTTCACCCTCCACCTGCCTCCCTTCCATTACATTTCCCCAGGCAGTGGTACTCTCTCGCATCCCCAAACCATTGCTATCCCTATCTCACTAAATCAAATGAAAATAGAAAAGTTTACATGGCCTAATACACTTGCCACCGGAGATTGTCTTAATTGCTGCTGAGCAAGGAGTTGTTGCTGATGTTGAGGTAACTGCACCATCTTCTGCCTCTGTTGTTGCGGTTGTGTTTGTTGCTGAGGTGAAGGTGTATTCATCATGTTTGATGATGACCTAGGTGAGTTGGCGTGTGGAAGAGGTGGAGTGGACGCATTATCAAACGAGGTGACCCCAGGTGATGGAACTGACCTCCCCACGAATTGGCTTCCTGAAACCTGCAATAAATTTAGTTTGCACAATAAATGTGCCTCCATTTTTATGTACTTCTCAATAACTCCGATTGACATAACATACAAATGTCTACATCACAGTAACAAAAAATTCCTAGCAACACATTGTCTAAAATGTCAAACTTTGAACAGGCCACGATAAAAGTTCCTAACATTGCGATGAAAGCGAATAAACCCATTATATACTCTACTTCAAACGTCAAGCAGCATTGCTCATGCATCCACATAAAGTGATTTCACTTTTCTTCAAAGAGTACAAGCTTTCTGATATACAAGCAACAATAAGAATGATCATATTTGTATGTTACCACAGCGGAAGTAGCAAGACAAATTAGATGTTTAGTGCGTTACGATTATTAAAAATAAGATTCGCTGAGCACTTCACTTTGTAACCTGACCAGTGAGGTAGTAGGCCATCTCCTTGATCACCTTAACAACTAAGACAAGCGTACACATTTTCAGGAGATGCACGACTTCAATCACATCCATTGCAATCTTGAGGCATATCATCAATTCTCTACCATAGTAATTTTTTGTAAAGCAGTGGACCATTCAGAAAGCTTTTAAAAGTTACAGGAAGATTAACATACTCATCATGCAGGTATGCATGGCAACATATTTCTTTGACCTGTATCTAGCAAGTTCTAAACCAGTACCTTGTAAATAACTTGCAAATTAATGCCACTAGGTCATACCTGCATGGTGCCAACCTGAGAATTAACACTCCCAGGGTTGAACGAAGATGGAGTGCTCTTTGAGTACACACCTGCGAGTGGGTTCCATGATCACAAAGCAGTAGTATTAGCTTCATTCAATATCTCATTATAAATAAATGAGCAGCTTGGAAGAACTGAAGAGCAGATCGAGACCACTGAGGTGTGTCAACTAAATGATTGAATACAAAAAATCAAAAAGATAAATTATGGATTATTTACCAGATGTGTCTCCAAAGTTATGTGATCCATCACTAGAGGGAACCACATTCACTAAATGCATAGGCAACGGCGATGAAGGGTGTCTCTGATCAACAGGTAGCCGTAAACCTTTAACAGAAGTGTGCCATCCTTAATCAATTAAAGAGTTTTATCTCATGCATAACGAAAAGAACAATGTGGACTTGTGATGAATGGAGACACCTTCACCATAGTTGACAGCTGCTCTAAGCAAATTCTCTTGCTCTTGAATTTTTGCAGCCTGTGCCTTGTCCAGAGTTGGAATAAGTGTTGATGATTGGCGTGAACCCAAGCCATAAGACTTGCGGGTATCAGATATTACTTTTTCAGCACTCTCACATGCCGCTCCAATCATATCAATTCTAGCCTGGAAACCTCCAGGATGTAAATAAAGATAGATTGAAAAAGGAAACTTAATAAATTAAAAGAAACCCTTATATAACTTCAAAGCACCTTTAACTTTTCAATTTGCATGGGTATAGGAAGGTTCTGCATTCCATGTAATAACTGCTCCCTCTTGGAGTTATCTTCAACTTCCATCTCTGGTAATAACTTGGATGAAAGCATCACAGGAAGTACTGTCCATTAAAAAATAGTAACAACAATTAGCTATAACAACCTAGATGAACCTGTTATTTATGTCAAAAGGTTTAACTGGTATCACACTGGTCATTATCAATTGAAATGTCACTTATAGCCAATTATGGAGCAACAGAACATACTTGTTGCATTTTCTGCGTTAACATTCCTTGGGTGCACAACAAATGCTTTAGAAACCTTCTTTATGTCTTCCACTATGTTGAAGAGCTCCAAATTGACCATGGAAAACTGCCCCAGAACCTCCTGCCTGCATATTAACCCCAAATTCATTGTAGTAGTTTTTTTTCAGGATACTCCCGGTTTAGTCGAACTGCAAAAAAGCATTTTGAACAACACGCTAAAGAGAAGGCTCCTCTATTCCCTTTCGTTCCCGCAGGTAAACCATTTCTGTTTACCCGGTATTTGGATATATCTAGTTTTGATTTTCATCCCAATCAGGCAGATGACAATTCAAAACAGCATGAAATGTTGCGATGGCAATGTGTCATATCAACAGCATTTATCATTCCATAGTTGTTCAGTTACTGTAAAACTTAGGACTTCGTGATACCAAAATTATGTGGCTAGCATGCGTGAAAATATAATTCAAACCTAATCTAACAAACTACTTCTTACTGGGTAAAACTCGATGCTCCTTGAAGAAAAAAAACCCATGGAAGGCCTTTAGTTCATTAGAACAGGTCAATAATGCTCAGAGAAGAATTCCATAGATGAAGAACTATGAGAACACCTTCAATTTGAAGTCAAGATGAAATTTATCACTTTCCCATTGTCACGATGCTCTAACGATGGAGAAACAGAAAACATGGTTGACATTTATCAATGTCGGCAACAATAAGAATACCTGAATAATACGCCGAGAAGGATATGCCATTGATGAAAAAAATATGAAACTAACGTGGGCATATAATTTTTTCATATTTTCAATTTCAAGTCGAGAGAAAATTATATGACAATAAATTTTGTTCGTATTTATCAAATTCGACGTCGAAAGGACAAACAGAAATCACCATTTTGGGACAGCGTTGGTTCGAGCGATGGTATCAAAGTCCTCGAGAATTCTAGAGATAGCGTTAGAGAGGCCGAGAGCCCGCGTCCTAACGGACTCCAGGTTGAGCTGCTGCTGCAACGCAGGATTCAGTCGCTCCACCTTCACTGGAGGCGGCGCCTGGAGAGCACCAGCCTGCAGCAGCTGCTGCTGCTGCTGCAAGTCTATTCCTGGCACCGACACACCACCGACGACCTCCATGGCGCTACTCCTCTCCCGCTTCCCAGCTGCTGCGTGGGAGATCGCAGAGAGAAATTTCAGAAGAAACGATGGAAAGAGGATTCGGTATGGTACTCCGCGAGAGGTTCCTAACCTAAAAGGCTCCACCAGAGAGAGGGCACTAACGGCTCTTTAATGAGAGAGGCCTGCTAGTAGACATAATTACAAATAATATGAAAATAAGTATATAAAAACATATAAAAAGGAGGAAGGACGTGGGCGAAATCTAATTTCCACTTAAATGAAAAATCTCATAAAAACCCTTTTTTATGAAAATTTTATGATAAAGCCCCATTCCTGGTCTAGAAGAGGGCATGTCGTCTACACTACATTTTCCTTGGGTTTTATCACATATCATCCTGTCCCTAAAACCCATATGGGACGTTAATATTTGCCCCACCCCGGGCCCACCCAACAACACTTTGGATACTAATTTCTGGACCGGACCAGATTTAAACCCGCCCAGTTCGGCCCATTTAGAGTATCGAACCCATTTCCCTCAGCGAGCAAGATTCCACAAGAATCAGATTCTATGCAGGATCCTCGAATCCAGATCCGAGACTGAAGCCAGAACCATGTGCTGCCGGCGCCGAAAGACGGGAAGCAGGAGTCAGCCATCCTTCGCTATCGGATACTGTAGCCGAAGGAAAAACGTTGTTGTCGTTGAACTAAGACTTCAGGCGAGTCGCTGCCAACAGCTCGCCCTCCAATGCTTTACTCTCTCTCTCTCTCCTCTCTCTATCCCCTGTCTCTCTCCCCTCTCTCTCTCTCTCTCTCCCCTCTCTCTCTCTCTCTCTCTCTCTCTCTCTCTCTCTCGGGGGCAAGCTAGAAGGAAGCTTGTCATGTAAGCTTGTCATGAAGGGTTCCATTACCTGGGAAAGAGCTGCCAACAGCCACCCTCCATGGCTCAACAGTCCCTCTCTCTCTCTCTCTCTCTCTCTCTCTCTCTCTCTCTATCTGGGGGAGGGGGGGCACCAGGAAGAGGAAGCTTGCCATGGAAGCTACTGGTACTGTTGGCGAAGGTGGGTCGAGAGGGGGTGCCATCAAAGGCGGCGTCTTGGGAGAGACGGAGAAGGAGAAGTGCGTTGATTGATTAGGTGCGATGCGTAGAGAATAATACACAATTTATTTATTTATTATTTATAAAGTAAACCCATTTTATTTTAAAAATATATATGTCCATATTCATGAAATAATCTTACGTATTGCCCAGACTTATTTATCTTAGAAAGTCCCACGGAAGAGGGGTTGGGGGGGGCTCATAATGGGACCATATGCGCATTGCACTGTGTGCTCTACCCTGCGGCAACTGTCCTCATCATGCTCTCCACAAGAAAACGCCGTGGTGGGTACCCAACCTTAATGTCTAAGTTGCCCGTCTCTCTGTCTCTCTCTCTGTCTCTGTCCCTCTGTCTCTCTCTAGATTTATCTATCTATGGATAGAGAGGGGGAGAGAGAGAGAGAGAGAGAGAGAGAGGGGGGGAGGTTTCTAGAGTTGGGTCATTTTATGATCTTCATTCAGCGGGGAACATGCTTCACGTCGAATGCATGTCGCTGAGGTAAAACAATGCACTCATTTAAGAGGGAGAGAGGGACAGCCACATGGCTGATGGCAGGGACGTCGTCTCCATTGGCGGGGAGAGAGAGAAGAGAGAGAGAGAGAGAGATAGAGAGAGAATAGCCGCCCCATGGAGGGACTGTTCTAGTCCCATAGCGAGTGAATGCCCAACCGTTCTCCTACACACCTTCGCAGAGTACATCGCTGTCTCGGATGGGTAGACGTACACGTAGGCTCCATACAGGATGCCCAGCCAGATGGCCATGCACAGGGGGAGAGAGAGAGAGATATATAGAGGTGGGCAGATCTCTCTCTCTCTCTCTCTCTCTCTCTCTCTTATTTGTTGTAAGAAGACTCGATTTCTTGTCGATAACATATTTACCTACATTTATAGTAAATTTAGGGGAGAAGACTCAGATGTGAGTGTGTGCCCCAATAGGATCACGTGGAAGGCAAAGAGGTGGCCACCTGGCAGATAAGGACAAGAGCAGCCTTGGTGTCAGTTACTATCCGAAATTACCGCCCGAATGCTGTTGGGCCCGCTTTTGGTTCCGAAATCAACGGCCCATTTATTTATTTATATATTTAAGCAAATTGGGGACACCACTGACACGGTGGAGACATCTCATGGCCTTTCCCGATTTGACATAATGTCGAATCGTTATTGGGCTGTCGGATCCCTTTCGGTATAGTCCGAAGAAATCCGCCGTCACCTGCGAGGGCCCCATGATCGACGGCTGAGATCGTACATTGAACGATCAATCAATGCCCGGGCCACGATGTGCCACTGGGGTCCACCGATCCAACAACTCCATTTCACCAAGGGTGGTGCACCGTACCGGCAGGTGGGGGGTATTTCGGATCTGTCTGGATTTCTGGCACCAGAAGTGAGCCCCACTCCAGATCCGGCGTGACGGCGACGTCAAAATAGACGGTACGGGGGAGCTATTTATAAATAAGTCCTTGTTTGACTGTCTCATTGTGTTTGTGTCTGGTCACCCCGAGGAAACAGCTGTTAAAATCCAAAATAATGAAAATAGCGGGAAATTTTAAATAAAGAAGTTATGGGGGTAAAACGTATATCTGATATTTATGAGAAATAGGAGGATCAAATAGTAATTGTGTTTACTATAATTCGTCTCCCGCAGTGTTTTTTTTACGTCGGCAGAGGTCTGTGCTTTTTAGAAGGTTTTTCTGAGACAGCCAGTGGCAGTAACGATCGGAGAGCTCTCTGTGTGTCTCCCTCTCTCTCTCTCTCTCTCTCTCTCTCTCGCTCGCTCGCTCGCTCGTTAGTTCTCCTCTCGCTGTCCCACTCGCCCCATTCTCCTCACCGTAGCTGCGCTCACAGCGCACATGGCGGTCGTCGGCGGCGCTGAGTCATTTCCGGCACCCCGCTGATTCAGCAATCTCGCAGACGGCGCAGATCTTCTCCGTCGCTGGCGTCTAGAGGTGATGAGGGGGAGATGGTAGAGGCTTGCCCTCCCGTTTTGCGCTCTCACTCGCGTTCCTTTCTTCTTTTTCTTTCATCTCTGGTGAGGGGAATGTCCCGGGGTTTGCGGCCGGAGCCGATTTCTGAATCTCCGTTTTTCCCGATCTAATCCTGCCGGTTGGTTGTAAGAGTTGGAGAAAATGTGGGGTAAGATGGTTCTTGTGGTGTCGAGATCTGGGCAGTGGTAGAGGTGGAGGTTCCGTGGGGTTCTTCTGCGTTTGCGTTGTCTTGTTAGAGTAAACTGAGTCATGCAGCTTACCTCATCGATACAGAAGCCCGAACTCATTACTTGGAATCGTGAACCAAGATTGGTAAGTCTAGAACAGAATCCATAGGGCCGGTGACACTTTCGCTTCTAGCAGTTCATCCCGCGGGAATCGTCACGTTCTTGCGAGATTTTTCATGTCCGATCCCTTTCTTCGAGGAATCTTGTGAAGTGAGGAATACGGGTTAGGATTGCGATCTTGAATAGAATTTGCGAGGTTTTTTGGGTATCTGTTCTTAGTGATCGCTAAGGTCGGTGCTAAATGTATCTCCGTGTGGAAAACCTTTTGTGCTTTGTGGGCCCGTGGGGTGTTGAAAAAAGTGAGGCATTAGCAGCTCATCTTTAGTGTCTTATCACGACCCTCTGTCGGGCTTGTTTTCTGTCACATGGATTGTGCGTCCGCTCATTAAGTCATTCGCAGGATCTGGTCGAGGCCTTAGGTTCATTAGACTGGTATTCTGAGTATTTTTCTCTTATTTCCTCCTTCGTTTCTCACCCTTCATAATTTTTCGCCCTTCGTATTTTTCTCTTTGAAGATCGAGTACCCGGGCTGCTTTTTATGGCATAGTCTATAAACGATGACTGTGAACAGCATTTTCCCACTGGTTTTGTTTAGCGGCACCAGCATGTTACAAGCCTGCTGACATTAAATTTCCAGGTTGCATTTTTTCCAGCTTGATTTCGGTTGTCCGGTTCTCGATTCCGATGTGAAGTTGTATCATTGCATCTTTACCAATTCGCATATAAGGTTCTATCTATTTTTTTCTAGTTTTTCCTCTCCTATCCCTTTACCGGGCTTCTCTTGAATTCAAGAAGTTTACGCTGGTCTTCATAAGAATCCCCGCTGATGTGGTTCCTTCTTTTCAAGGTGATGGAAAGTTAATGTGAATTTATACCGTTTATGACCCGAATCTGACTCGTCTCTCTTGCTATTTGTCGCCTTGTCGCAATTATTTCGGTTTCCATTTTAGATGTTTGATTCCAGGTGATGCTTTCTTGCCTAATAAGCATATAATTCTTGATTTTATGGATTTTCTCTTTATTTTTGTTTTCTCATCATTTAATTGAATGGTGTAATAAAACTGTTACTCTTGAGCCATACGTCAGTTGATTTGTTAAAGTGTCAGACACGTATGTTTTCATGTGGCAAAATGTTATGTTTTTCTGCACAATGGCACCCTGTGCCAAGGCCGGATCACACAGCTTGGCGCTGGGAGTATTAAGTGTCATCTTTTTTACCGATATTGACTACTGTTCTTTCTATTAGATTTCTTATTGATCCTTTGAAAGCATCCGTTGTAAATTTTGAAAATGGATTGTGTTTCTAAAATGGTATTTCCTAGTCGATAAGATATTTGAAAATTTTCATCTAAATTCCATAATTGATTTACGTTTTATGGGATTCTGGAACGTACGTCTTTTAAAGCATGCTTAAGTATCTACCGACTAAACACAGAAGGTTTACATTAAATGATGGAGGACTGAGGAGATAAAATAATATGAAGAATTTTTTAAAGTACTACTTGACATGTTTCAATACTACAGTATCCTCCTCTTATTAATTTATTTTTGCACATGTTCGTAAGCATTGTTGCCCATCTTTGTAATGAAAATTTTTCCTTTATGATTTTTCTTCTGTTGTCAATGTGCTCTCTAAATCTGATAATCCCCCCGCAACCCATCATATAATATCCCGGATTAATTGTTGAAAACAAGCCAACTTTGCTTTCGAGTTTAGCATAAAAAAATTGAGCCTATTCATTAAACTGAACAAAGCTTTGACGTTATCAATCAAAATCCAAACGCTTTATAGTTTTAAAATACTTCTGATGATCAATAACTATACTTTATAAATTAGCATCACATCAAACGTTCACTCACCGTAGTTCCATCAGCCTGCACCTCTTCTGTGATTATATTCTTCAGAACACCAATCGAGCATGAAAAGTCAACCTAAAGTAGGCTTGGTTCTGACCCAGGAACTAGGCTTGGGATTGGTCAGGTCCTGCCATCTATCCTTTAGCTTGGTCCATTGACTTCTCTAATGTTGCCAGTATTGGAGTGAGTAAGTGAAGATGGATTGTCTCATGATTATGTTATTCAGCTGAAGATGAATAAGTACTTAAAATCCATCTCAAGATGGATCTCCCTGTCTCTATCGTCACATATCGCTCCTTCGGTCGTTTTGTTTTAATTTAAAATATTAGTAAGGGTTACCACATCAGGAGTTATCTTTTTTGTGTGATTAACAGGTCGTGGATTCTGATTTTTCGTATTGTACTCATACATGATTTTGAGCCAATCGTCCCTACAAAGAACTAAGTTTTCTTCCCCAAGGAGTGTGTAATCATAAGTAATATTTTGGGTTCTTTCTCTGGGCTGTTAATCACACGAAAAATATTATTTTTATTGTTGCCTTCAGGTTTATATTGGAGCTTCAAAGACCAAACATATCATTCAGTTATACGTTATGCCCGATCTTGTTTATGCTGGAGCGCACAATAGCTTCATTCTGCTCTCTCAAATCCAATGAAATGATCCAGCCGAGCCTCAGCCCCACCCTGGAAGTTACAAAAGCTTCGTTCCTTCTCTTGTGAAGAAACACACAGAGCTTTTCAAACTAACACTTCTTGGGGTGAACTTTCTCGAGCCTGATGGGTTCTCGATTTCCTTCCCATCAGCTCAGCAATGGCCTATATGTTTCTGGGCGCCCTGAGCAGCCAAAGGAGAAACCTATGATAATCAGCTCCGCAGCTATGCCCTACACTGGGGGAGATATTAAAAAGTCTGGAGAACTTGGGAAGATGTTTGACATCCCTACAGACGGCTCAAAGTCAAGGAAGTCTGGGCAGCTAGCAAATGCTCCTTCAAGAACAGGGTCATTTGGAGGTGCCGCTTCGCACTCAGGCCCTATCAATTCAAATTCTACAGGCCGGTATCTGTCTGGACCCATTTCATCTGCGGTAGGCCCTGTGTCGGGTCCAAGCAGGCAGAAGTCCAATTCTGGACCTCTAAACAAGCATGGGGAACCTCTCAAGAAATCATCTGGTCCCCAGTCTGGAGTGGCAACACCAATGGCTCGCCAAAACTCTGGTCCTCAGGCACCTGCTCTTCCTACAACTGGTCTCATCACCTCTGGGCCGATTTCTTCCGGGCCACTCAACTCATCTGGCATGCCACGGAAGCTCTCTGGTCCACAGGATTGTACGGGATCAGCAAAGCTACATAATGTGTCAATTTCTCATAACCAGGCGGTCACCAATCTGAGCCAGGTGGAAGAGTACTCGTTCAAGAGTAGCATCCCAAGAGTGACGTTATATGCTGTGATTCTCCTTTTTGTGATGGGTTTCATAGCGGGAGGTTTCATTCTTGCGGCTGTGCACAATGCAATTCTTCTGATCGTTGTCGTAGTCCTCTTCAGTTTTGTTGCTGCACTCTTCACGTGGAATTCTTGTTTGGGAAGAAGCGCCATCATTGGCTTCGTTGGTCGCTACCCTGATGCTGAGCTTAGGAGTGCAAAGGATGGCCAGTACGTTAAAGTAACAGGGGTACGTAATTTGACTGATATTTTTACGTTACTGTTATATTTTTTTCCTCCTCCTGAATACCTTCGAAATATCTCCCCTGAGCATTCTTTTTTAAAAAAATTGCTCCTCAACAGTTTCTAGGAAATTTCTTCGTCAGATAAACTTGTTTTTTTTTTTCCCCTGTTCACATCAAAGTATCTCCTTTGCTCGAACCTACGCGACTGTAGTTTCGGATCCATCTGGGCATCTGCGTTTTTTTTCTATGTTTCCTCAGCTGCTATTAAAATTCTCTCTTCACTCTTTGCTTGAGTGAGAACTATTCGAATCTATGTTTCCTTTCAAGAGATTGTGCTCATCATTTGAGATGATTTTGAGCTGCGTGGCTCCCTTCCGGACGATGCTGTGCATGAGACCCTGCCATTATCAGTGTTCAGGACATTTTATGTTCATTTAAAGCAACAGCCTCTCCTGGCACTCTCTTACAAGCTTTGAAGCCGGTGATTCTTTTTGACTTTCTCTAGGTGGTCACCTGTGGAAACGTTCCTCTTGAGTCGTCGTTTCAGAGAGTTCCCAGATGCGTGTACACATCCACAAGCTTGTATGAGTACAGAGGATGGGAATCAAAAGCAGCTAATACAACGCATCGCCGTTTCACATGGGGACTCAGATCAGTGGAGGTCAGTCTTGTTTCCCGCTGCTTCGCCAGTAGAGCAGCTCGAACCATGTGGGCTGGGTCTGGCGCGATTTATTCTATCTTTCTTCTGCTGCCGATCTCATGAGTCCAGACCATGTTTTTATTCAATGGAGCAGCTTTTCCATGAAGAAATGTGCGTTTTAAATGTGTTGACCAAGAAATTCCTCTACTTTCTGTAAAATGCATGGGGAATTGCCGCCCATCATCATCATCATCATCATCATCATCATCATCATTATTGTTATTGTTATTATTATTATTGTGCATTTTTCTTTTTTTTCTTTTTTTTTGGGGGGGGGAGCAAGATGATAAGAATCCTAACACAGATGTTGACCCTTCGTGTTTTCCTTTTCTGTTTAATTTTGACTGCTAATTTTGTTTCTTTGCGCCTGCATTACCCTCCGTCATTGGCCTCATTCAATATCTGTATATATCGCTGAGACATCAATCATTCCTTGGGTAGAAAAACTCTTCATGCTGTCGTGTGTTTACTATGCAGAGGCACGTGGTTGACTTCTACATCTCAGATTTTCAGTCCGGCTTAAGGGCCTTGGTCAAAACAGGCTACGGGGCCAGGGTGACTCCCTATGTGGACGAATCCATCACCATCGACATCAATCCGGGAAACAAAGGTCTGTCGCCGAACTTCCTCAGGTGGTTGGCGGAGAGAAACCTCTCAAGCGACGATCGAATCATGCGCATGAAAGAGGGGTAACGGGATTTCCTCTCAGAGATCTATCCAGTCATTGAAGAAAAAAAAATAAAAAATCCTGCTTGCTGTTTTTTTTTCCAGAAGCATGGGTTCGATCACATCTGGTTCATAGATCATAATTTTTTCAATCCTTTTTTAGGTCTTCCTCTTTCTTTTGATGGGTTTTGATGGGATTTCCTCTCAGAGATCTATCCAGCCATTGAAGGAAAAAGAAAACCCTGCTAGCTGTTTTTTTTTCCCTACCCGATTCTGGAAAAGTTTCTAACATGGGTTCGATCACATCTGGTTCATAGCTCATAATTTTTTCAAACCCTTTTTAGTTCTTCCTCTTTCTTTTGATGGGTTTTGATGGGATTTTTGCCCTCCGAGATAATATTTGATGTTATCAGAAGTCAAACTATGCATTATTTCTTATTTCTTTTGATGGGTTTTGATGGGTTTTTTGGCCCTCCGATATAATATTTGATATGATCAGAAGTCAAACTTTGCATTATTTCTTATTTCTTTTGACGGGTTTTGATGGGTTTTTTTGCCCTCCGAGATAATATTCGATATGATCAGAAGTTAAACTTTGCATGATTTGTTATGAAGTGGAGGGGATAATCTAGGTATTGATTGCAGGTACATCAAGGAGGGCAGCACGGTGAGCGTGATGGGAGTCGTCCAGAGGAACGAGAACGTGCTGATGATCGTCCCACCTGCGGAGCCCGTCTCCACGGGGTGCCGGTGGGCCCGTTGCTTCCTCCCTGCCAGCCTCGACGGCATCGTCCTCCGCTGCGAGGACTCCTCCAAGACCGACGTTATCCCTGTCTAGAGATAGAGAAAGAGAGAGATAGAGAGAGAGAGGGGATCTTTGGACTGGTTGTTGCCTGTGTTAAAGGGAGGGCGGGGGATGGAGTCGATGGTGTATAGCTCCTCCGTGGCCGTTCTTCTTCTTCTTGCCTTGATGGGCTTCCTCTGTGGGTGACTGGTTGTAGAGAGAGAAAGAAAGTGGCGGGGGAGTTCTTGTGGCTTGGTAGTCTTGCAGCTATGTAAAATATTGGGCCGCCTTATGTTCGACTTCACCTCTCTCTCTCTCTCATTCTATCCGGAATCGGCTGGTCTGCGTGGTTTCTCTCACATTGGGCTAGAATGAATGGGCTGATTGGCCGCTTGAGAGAGACAGGGAGAGAGAGAGGATTTCTGGGCCAGGCTTCTGGAGCATCATAGCCTTATCAACTGGGAGGCTGAACGTTGGTAGGAAGCGCCCATCTTACCGATAAGCGCTCGTCTTCCCTCGTAGGGCCTCCTCCGCCCGCCTGCAGCCGCCTGTCGATCTTCCGCTCCCCATCGCGGCAAGAGAAGAAGAAGCCAATGCCGACACTGAACCTGAGCGTCAACGTGCCGGTGGACGCCGTGGTGGCCTCCGACATTCTCAAGGACGCCACCAAGGCCCTCTCCAAGATCATCGGCAAGCCCGAATCAGTGAGCCTCTCTCTCTCTCTCTCTCTCTCTCTCTCTCTCTGTGATTGTCTTCTCATCTACGTGTAGCGTAAAAGTAGGGCACTTTTAGACTGAGATTCTCTTCTCCATGTAGCCTAAAAGTTGGGAACTTCTCTCTCTCTCTCTCTCTCTCTCCCTTGCCCGCCATTTTCCTTCCTCTTGATGCTATAATTCCGCCCTGCGTGTGAATGCTGCGCTTGTCGGCGAGGTGTTCGATGGTATGCCTGACAGGGGTTCCCCTCTCTCTCTCTCTCTCTCTCTTGGTGATGGCTCAGTATGTGATGATCGTTCTGAATGGAGGGGTGCCCATTTCGTTCGCCGGGACGGAGGAGCCCGCTGCGTACGGAGAGGTCATCTCCATTGGAGGGCTCGGCCCCAGCGTCAACAGCAAGCTCAGCTCTGCACTCGCCGAGATCCTTCAAACTAAGCTCTCCATCGACAGCTCCAGATTTTACATCAAGTTCTATGACTCCGAGGTGACCCACTGACCCGGCCATTCTTCCTCTGCCTCCTGCTTCCCTGTTCATTCATTCATTTCTCTCAAATATCATCAAATATCTTCACCCATTTCTTCATTGCGTGATGATCATCACATAAGAAAACATCAAAGATCTGTGTTGAGGATTTCCCTCTGGCTACATCAGTTCATCCCGTGATCATAGTGGATAGTGGAGTTTGGATCATGCTCTGAAATTTTTTGATACGATCTGATGATATCAGTTGAAATCAGAAACCTTTTAATCCTGTTGACAATTCTCATATGCCTAATCACATCAGATGATTTCAGCAGCAAAAAAAAAAAACAAATATTTACATTTTATTCCCCAATTTATTATGGCAAATATTTTCATCTGTCTGACTTCTTTCAGTGTGATGAATGATGGCTACATCTGATTCATTTCTTCTTTGTTTTCTATCTTTGAAGCGTTCGTTCTTCGGATTCAATGGCTCAACCTTCTGAATCTGCAGCTACCTTCTTCATGAACTGTTGGCTTGAGAGGGTGATATTTTCCAAACTCTTCATATGTAAGTGTATAGGCCTTGTGATTCTCCCTATTAGCTTATCTATGTAAGCTTGTGCTGACTAATTATTTACCCTATTTTTTCTCTATATTATGATATTTTCTTTATTTATCCCATGGTTGATTTTGCAAAGTTAATTATTCAATTTATGTAAGGTTATGTGGGTAAATACCACAAATCTATATATGTAAGTAGGTTTTATGGAGCAGTGAATATAAACTTGCTAGCCATATGATGTGGCCTCATAAGAGCACATTTGTGGCCCAAAACTAAGCTCAAAGAGAGAGAATAGATATATATATATATATATATATATATATATATGCATACATGATAGATAATGTTGCCTTATAAGGAAAATGCCATTTAATGTGAGATCATGAAAAAAAAAAAAGCATGAGCTTACGTGTTTGAAGGGATTGAGCAATGTCCTTTAATAGTAACATTTTGAGAGAAAATACGGTAATTTAAAAATAAATCAGTTAATAAATAGAGTGGAGCTATCGATGTTGGGATGTTCCCAAAATGTTTGTAGTGTGATTTAATTGGTGGAATTAAATTGTAGGGATTTGATATTATGAATAGGATCAAATTATATGAATACTTGTCATTAAATGGGGTATTTTTATGGTCTTCTCATTTTTCAATTTATTAATTAGACTTTGGTAATTAACACCAAAGTATGGTAAATCCACATCATATTAACAAATTAATTAGCCAAAAAAATGGCTTATTTGACCATTATGAACTAATTGTGCTTCTAATTAAGTCACTTATATATATTCATAATCTATTGGCGTGTAAGGAAGCTGAGTTGACTTCTATGTTTGACCACTGGCCCATCTAGAGCATGTGGACTCTTGCCACGTCTCGTGCCCACTTGATGTAGCATTTATATGATTAAATTTATTAAATGCCATGGAAATGAGCTCAAAAATCGTTGATCTATTTTTAGAAAATAATTTATTTTAATAGGGCATAAAATGAGTGAAGTCATCATTGATCCCCCAACATATTAAAAGAAAAAAAAAGCCAAAAAAGCTCGTGAAATATATATAGTGAAACGATTTATTGTGCAGAAGCCATTTATTAAATTAATTAAAAAATGATGATCAGTCTGTCGTATCATTTTATTTTGACTGGAAATGAATTTAAATAAATAGATTTATTTTTTTATCATACATTTGGCGCTGGTATTTTATATGGCGCAGTGCGCCACATCCAGTGGAGGCTGTTTCTTATTCTCGCCGCTTCCGTTTCCTACGTGTTGGGCGCCGCCGCCGTGGAAGCGGTCGATGGACGGCGCCGCCGCCACCACCTCCAAGCGCCCGCGTGACTCGTCCTCAGGCGCTGACCGAATGGAGCCCGGTGGCGGGGGAGGTGGTGGGCCTCCCTCAGTCTCTTCTCCGTTCTCTCCGACTGCATCCTCGTCGTCGTCCTCTTCGTCCTTCAAGCGCCGTCATTACTCTTCGTCGGGGGGTTCCTCCTTCAAGCATCAGCAGACCCAGATGAAGTTCTCAGGGAATGAGACTGTGTTTCGCATCCTCTGCCCCGCGGAGAAGACCGGGGGGGTAATCGGGAAGGGGGGATCCATAGTGCGCCAGTTCCGGGAGGAGACTGGGGCGAGGATTCGCATCGAGGACGCGGTCCCTCGTTCTGAAGACCGCGTCATACTGATCGTGGCGGAAGGGCATGTGAAGAAGAGGAGGGAGGCGAGCGGTAGCGGGGGAGGGGACGGGGACGAGGAGGACGCATCGCCTGCCCAGAGGGCGTTGATTAGGGTCTTCGAGAGAATTCTGCGGGTAGAGGAGGAGAAGGTGTGGGAGGGGGATGGTGCGGCCCCCGGTGAGGAGAAGGAAATACAGGGTCTGGTAATGTGCAGGTTGCTGGCGCCGAGTACCCAGGTGGGATGCGTTCTGGGCAAAGGGGGGAAGATTGTCGAGAAAATTAGGCAGGAGAGCGGGGCACAGATCAGGGTTTTGTCAATGGAACAGGTGCCTGCATGTGCTGCACCCGGGGACGAGTTAATACATGTAAGTCCCTTGTGAAGTTTTTCGTTATATAGCTTGTTCTTTTCTCTTGTTTGGATAATTGTATTCATAGTTTGTCTCCTTTGCTGCCTCCTGTCTTGCAGCTCACTCATGAATGTTGGAAATCATGTATGTTTCATTCTACTTGTAGTCGCGATTATAAAACGTTTGCTACGATTGCATTTCTCAGGAATGGCTGTATCGAACCATACTGATATGATATCTTTTTAATAAGTTCAATTCTTTCGTGGATATATTTACACCCTCACAACTAACCCATTTATTTATTTTGTACAATATCTTCATCAGTTTTCTGTAAGGATGGATGACATCGATGATTAAAAAAAAAAAATAGCAAACATGGTCAATCCAATTCGACGCGATTATGGCATGGTTCCGGGCTGAAACCTAGCTTGGGGCAATGGTACTTTCTCCAAGGTCTCTCGTCTGTCAGATTGTGATGGAGGTTGAAACTGAGGCTGTGTCATTTTTATGGTAGCCCATTTGCTGATAGACATAGGCAGAAGATTAAATTTACATCGAAATCATTATGGAAAAAAAATCTAAGACATCAGTAAATCTTATTTTCTTGCCTTTCAGAGATGCTAAAAGATAAAATTTTATGCATAATTATTCATATTAATTGCTAATTTTTTCTATTCTCATTGCTGCTTCCAGGGTCTTGACAGCTGAATAATTTTGTTTGAGACATTAAGCATAGTTTCTTTGTTTCCATTCTTCAGAGTTCCTGTTTCCTTATGTAAAACTACTTCCACATGAGGCAGAAAAGGGCCCAATTTTTATTTGTATACAGCAATTCCGCTTCCTACTGAAAGTCCTCTGAAAAAATACTTTCTTTGATGACAGATAAGTGGGAGCTTCTTGTCTGTGAAGAAGGCGCTTTTAGCTGTTTCGGGTTGCCTCCAGGATAATCCTAAGACAGATGCTTCCAATTATATGACCGGTAAACCTCTGGGAAGTGGTTCTAATACTGCCCACATGGAGAGGTATTCCCACAGGGGTTACAGTAGTGGCCATCATCCATCTGATTATCATGCGAGAGGATATTCTTCGCACATGGGTGTTGATGTTCTTGCCTCAGGTCAAAGAAAGTTTATAGAAGAAGATCTTCTGTTCAGAATGCTATGCACAAATGACAAGGTTGGTGGCATTATTGGGAAAGGGGGTGCTATAGTCCGTGCCTTGCAAAGTGATACTGGTGCATCAATTAAGATAGTAGATGCGATTCCTGATTCAGAAGAAAGAGTTATTGCTATATCTGCACGCGAGGTGAATAAATTATCTTAATACTTCCAGTACTGCAGTTTTTTTCCTGAACTAGTCAAAATGCTTCACATATTCCCATCTGTTCATCTCCTCAGTTTGGACTATCTCATATGTCATGATGCAGGCAGATTCATGTATAGTTATTGTACGTATTAATGCTAAATGTGGGTGCGGTATTTTTTTTTATTTCTCAGAGTTCTGAATTTCAACATTCGCCTGCCCAAGAGGCTGTGCTCCGTGTATATTCTAGACTTACTGAAGCAGGAGTTGACAAAGGTTCTGCTGTTTCAGCAAGGCTTCTTGTTCCTTCTCAGCAGATAGGCTGTTTATTGGGTAAAGGTGGTAACATTATTTCGGAGATGAGAAGAGCAACTGGGGCCAACATTCGGATCTTTTTAAAGGAGCATGCTCCAAAGTGTGCTCAGCCAAATGATGAAGTTGTCCAGGTTTTTTTTTTTTTTTTTTTTTCATTATCTGTTTTGCATACAGTTTTTCATCATCATCGGTATCCCACTTATGCTTTTGAAATTGGCTTATCTTCCAAGTGCTCTTGGCCTCCTGATGTCACCTGATTATTCTTCGTGGAGAGGAAATCCTGTATCTTAGTTCATATATGTTTAAAAGATTCATTATTTATATGCTGTTAGAGATAGTGAGCACTTTGAACCTTGTTCTTCCTGTCCTGCGACATACTGTTTTGAGTATACTTTATGGTAATCTCTATAGGATTTTGAAGTTGATCTACTGTGTAGGATAATTTTAATGGCGTCTGATGTGTAACAGCCTGTTCTTCCACTAGAGCCGTACAAGAATCATTGTGCCTTATCTTGTTCACTATTTCTTAGCTTCTTATGTATTTTCTTTGATGATAACAATTTTTTTTTTTTAATTCTAGGAAGATTGATAATTATTGGGTAAATTGGAACCTGCGTGGGATTAAATTTAAGGTTTACCAAAGCAAATGCAAGTTCAAGCTCTAAAAGCTGAAAAATATATAATATGGATTAATCTGCAATCATCTCCATGATACCTTGGAAATCCGATGGAAGTGGTTGAGCGCTCAAGTAGATATCTTAGAGATTCGATGAAGCACTTAATGGGAAATCTGTAGCTTTCTTTTGATTAATATTCTTGCGTTTATTTTTGTGTTATTTATCTTTTTCTGCCGTCAGCAATATGCAGTCTGATTTTACCCGCACTATTTTATTATTTTCATTTTTTTTAGGCATAATTTGAGCTACCCGTTGGTCAACTTCTGCAGATTACTGGCAGCTTCCAGTCTGTTTATGATGCTTTGCTTCATATCACGAGCAGGATACGGGAGTTGACCTTCCCGCTTAAATCTCCCAGCATTGGGTCAAACCAGTACATGTCCGGCAGCCACGACGCCCCTCCTACTTTGTCTAGGTCAAGAAGCGAGCTGGCGTCCCCCGGCGGCTACTCTTCGAGTGGGCTCGCTCATGGTCTCGATCGCTACAGCGGCCATGTCCAGACCCCCGGCTGGCAGTCTCCTCGTTCTTCTGCCGATCGAGTACCTTACTTTCATGGCAATGAGCTGTCCTGCTTCGATCGCTCATCTTCTCCAAGACCATGGGCGCAGGTATGCATGCAGATGGATAAAATTAAAAAAAAAAACTCTTTTTAAGGCAAAAATCGTGTGGGTGTTACACGAAAATCTGTGAGAATGATCACCTCTGCCTATAATCTGATGGGTTTGGGCCATCAAGACCTTCGGATGAAAAAAAAATGGCGAAGAACATAAATAGAAAAACTCTTTTGGTGGGCAGAATTAGTGCATTATAATATGTGTGGATGATTATTCTCGCCTATTGTTTGATGGGTTCGGACCCATTAATCCGTTTCTGAGTGTTCTCTGAGAACCCCTCCTTTTCTTTTCTTTTGTTTTCTCTCTCTAGATGGTCAACAGTGGGAACCACAGAGACATCGCTGATGCCGGAGCCAGCATGATGTTCAGAAATCCCGGGGCAGGAAGGTAAACGCCTGTTCATCAGCTTATGAACAGCCCCCCCTCCCCCCTTCCTCTTTCCTCTCAAGGTCTCTCTGATCTGGTGGCAGAAATATTTCTCTCAGCGGAGGTCAGCCCGCCGTCGCTGCGAGTGCCACTGTTGAAGTCGCAGTGCCACAGCAGTTTCTGGGGTTTGTTTATGGAGATAACTCCAGCAATCTTACCAAAATCAGGGAGGTCAGTTGACTTCATCAAGATTCTTGTTCTAGATTCGGAGTTATTTGGTCTTCACCTCCCTGTAGATTAATTAGCACCATGGAAATTCGTTGACTTTTTTGAGGAAACCCACAATTTTCAAGTTGGGTAAGATTATTAGCGATGTTGGTTTATCCTTTGTACACCTGGGAGTTGACCATCGTGGGAAACTGTAACAATGTAACCCGTAACTTATGTTTATTTCTACAAAAGTCAACGTTGAAGGTTCGATCGCTTCAACCCTACTCTCTGTTTTTCAGATCTCTGGAGCGAAGGTCACGGTCTGCGATCCCAAGCCAGGAGCAGGAGAGGGAACGGCCTCCATAACCGGGGCTCCGGACCAGGTCCACATTGCCCAGAGCCTTCTCCATGGGTTCATCCTCTCCGGCCGGGCAGCCGGTTGAAGCTGTTGACCTGTTCTCTCCCTTCTGATGCCCTTCTGATTAGTCAACCTCTGTACAGTAAGTAGCTTGAGGGGATGAGCCATGGTTTTGTGTAACCGACCGGGTAGATAGATATTCAATTCAGGCTGCAATGAGATGGATCGTCAATTAGCCATGCTTTTTAACTCCAGATTGGCCCTCTTTAATAGAGATAGAGAGAGATGGCTCTAGACCTGAGCTGCATTGTCATCGGGCCCGACCGGGCTTCGGGCTTAGCCTTGTGGGAATCGACCCATCTCTCTCTCTCTCTCTCTCTCTGTATTTAAGAGAGAGAGAGAGAGATGGGTTGGGCCCAGAAATGCCCGGGGGGCCAATCCGACTGAGTACGCGGTTGGGTTCGAGTTCGGGTCGACGGGCTTCGGGCCCCACGGCCACGTCGCCGATGATGGATAGACGGTGGACAACCGGTCCACGCCTCTCATCGGTGACGTCATTTAGCCACCACGAAAAGAGGCGCCTTTCACAGGGTGGGTCGCATCTTCGTCTTCGTGGGAAATTCCCCCCCCTCTCTCTCTCTCTCTCTCTCTCTCTCTCTCTCTCTCCAGGCTTCCCTGGTAGGCGTCGACCGCCGCTTTGCCGACCACATCCGACGGCCCTGATCGCCTCGCGCGCGCTCTCTCTCCCGCCGCATGCCGGCGATCATCTCGTCCTGTCGTTTATTGATCGATCCTCCGTTGGCCGATCCCCTCCTTCCCGTTCGAGCCAAAGATTTTAGGGTTTTTGAATTTCCGTTCTCGGGACGCCGGCTCTCGCTGGGATTCGTTGGATTGGGGGTGTCGCGGGGGGTGTATGTGAGGTGCGCGCGTGTGCGGGTCTCGTTTGGGTGTTTCAGTGCGTTCTGGTCGCGATTTCTAGTGGATTTTGCGGTGATCGGGATTGTAGGTTAGGGTTTAGCAGATTGCGGGTTTGCACGGCTATCGATTCGCTCCAGATGTTTAGGGATCCTGTCTTTTATTAGCGGATTACCTTTTCACAGCAGTCGATTTGCGACAGATGTGCAGAATCCTTGTTTTATACTAGCCGCCAAGTCCTGTCTCCTTTTTCTGGTTCGGAGAGTCGGAGATGAGTGAGAATCCCGCCAAGGGGGGCCTCTATCCGGAGCGCCACATCCACGCCCAGGTGAACGCGGCGGCCGCTTCTATGCAGTTGCCCGTGCAAATTGATGAGGTTCACGGTAGAGACGGCGGCGGGGGCTACGTTATTGGCGACCAGCAGATGCTAGTCCGTCAGGACACCCAGGCGCAGAGCTACGGCGCAGTGCAAGACCATGGGGTTCACCAGAAGTATGGTGGGGACGGCATGGATGATCAGAATGGGGTGGAGCGGGATGGCATGGAAGGCGATATGCCGGCTGATGCTGGCAACATGGGGATGATTCCGGATCCAGGCATGGGTAATCAGCTTACTCTCTCATTCCAAGGCGAGGTCTATGTGTTCGATTCCGTGTCCCCAGAAAAGGTAACTGTGGTTTCTTTTTGTCCTACAATCCTGCTCCGTATGCGATGCTTGTTTAGCTCTGCGATCTTTACCGCTGGATCTGCGACTGAGTGTTTATAGTTCTTAGTTCCTTCCATGATGGGCCGAAAGTTTCTTAACTTCTGCTTGCCTTTCCCCATTGAAATAAGCAACGTAAGGAAACATGCCACGATAGGAAGCAAGATGAAGGAGAGTCCCAAGATCTATAATGTATCAGTTTGGGTGGAGAAAGGGATAAATTTATCCAAATTTATCCCAATATGTGATGTATAAAGTTTATATCTATGTCATAAGCTGATCATTAGGGCTATAATTTTGGTAATATCTTTTGTTCAGATGAGGCCCCTGAAGGGATATCTGAAAGTCAAACTACACATTCTTAATAAGGAAAAGCATCCCAAAAACCCAGATTAAGTGAGTTCACGAACTTGGTATTTGACATGGGTTGCTTGGAAATCTATCTTCTTTCTAAATCGCTTCTTTATGAATTTCAATGGAAAATGTTTTTCGGGGGTTTATTTAATTAATTATAGCATAAATTGCAAGTTCTGAGAAAGGATTCTCCTCTCCTGGAAATTGGGGACAAGGGCTGATGTTTTGCCATCGTTAGATGTTTTGATGTGGTCCTTCCTTTCTCTTTGGTTTCATTTTTTTTTTGCGTTTTAATTCAATGACGCGGTTGCATAACTATGCGTTGACATATTTTTCAGGTACAAGCTGTGCTTCTGTTGTTGGGTGGACGCGAACTAAATACGGGTGTAGCCTCTATTCAGTCATCTTCCCATCAAAGTAATAAGGTAGGTTCATGCACCATGCTTATATTCAACCATTTTTAGGAAGTTTTCCCTTATATATATATATATATATATATTTAATGAATAAACTCCAAGATGTTTAACTGGTGGGTATCGTGGACGCAGCGTTCAAATTTCCCCCAGAGAGTTGCTTCCTTGATGAGGTTCCGTGAGAAGCGGAAAGAGAGAAATTTTGACAAGAAGATACGCTATACTGTTCGTAAGGAGGTAGCTCTAAGGTAACAGATGCATCATCACTTGTTATGATGTTTCTCTTCTAGAAAAAATCATGCCCACATTTTTCCACTTTTTGTCTAGAACTATGCTCGGGTTTTCTTCCTCCCTACGAGTCGGGAGATATTACCCCTTGTCAAGAAGATTTTAATGCGTGTAGAATTTTTTATTTCTGGATAACCCCTGCAGCGTATTCTTTATTTCTTTGAACTCTGACTGAAGCACTGCTTGGGGGAGGCTGCAATGGCTTCATTCATCTTTTCTTTTCTTTTTTCTTTTTTTAAAGAAGGAAAATGTGTTTAGCATGTAATGTTCGTCTGTTGATTTTGCCCCGAAATCCTAGTTGATCTGGGCCAGAAGCTAGTGTATGAAATCCCACATCGTTTTTTTTTAATTTTTTTCATCTGGGGATTTTTTTTCTCGAAATCCTTGTTTTGGGAAGGAATTACCGCACCCATTTTCCAGAAAAAGAGTAGAAATAAATCTCTCTTGCTTGACTTTTATGTATATATATATATATATATATATATATATTTGTAATGGATTGATGCAGGATGCAGCGGAATAAGGGGCAGTTCACTTCGTCCAAGTCAAAACCAGAAGATGCGGCGCTGGGTGTCACCAGTTGGGACTCTACTCAATGCTGGGGCGCAGAGGATAGCCGTCCCCAGGCAGCCTCCTCGTAAGCACCGTCCCTAATGTGAAGGGAATCTCTGTTCATTTGATGTACTAGTTGCCAAGTCAACCCATCCAAGAGCATGCTTAAAATTTTATTTTATTTATTTTTTTGAAAAAAGAAAGAAAACCAAAAGCCTCCTGAAGTGTTTCTTTGGAATCCCTCAGATGCCATCACTGTGGAATCAGCTCCAAATCGACGCCGATGATGCGCCGGGGCCCCAATGGCCCAAGAACCCTATGTAATGCATGCGGCCTCATGTGGGCGAACAAGGTATGGAGCTCATTTATTTTATTATTTATTTTATTTTATTGGGAGGAGGAAAGGGGGGGGGGAAATTAGTATGGTTTTACTTTAGCTTGTATGGTTTCAGATTAGAGAGGATAAATAAGATCCCGTGATTATTTATGTAAGATATCTGGGTCGGTCAACTCGAGTGGTTTTCCACGGCGTTGACTTGTTTTGGGTAAGAATCCTCATGATTGTTGATGCTTTTCTCTTCCTGGGGTGCGCAGGGAACTCTGAGGGATCTCTCCAAGAGCACATCTGCCCCCATGCAGGGCGTCCAGAATGCCTTGCCCGTCCCCAAAGAGGGAGTAGGTTTCTTTTACCTCCATCAACCTTGCATCTCTCTCTGTCTCTCTCCCTCTCTCTCTCACTATCTCTAGCTCTGATCCACTGTCTTTTCTCTAATTTTTCAGGCTCCGACTGCTGACGGCCTCGAGCAGCAACCCCCACCGATCTCTGCAAATGGGCATGATGGAGCATCACAATAGAGATAAGGAATTAGGGTTCTAGAGAGCACGTGATGCATGGAGAGAGAGAGAGAGAGAGAGAGAGAGGGGAGCGGGTGATGTTGCAGGATCTGATGGAATGAATGATTAGTTGTCGTCGTGCCGTCCATTGTTATGCCAGAGAGGGAATAATTATCGTAGGGACCTTGTGGTTAGATGTGGCTTAGCTAAGTTTTTGTACATCTCACAAGATCAGCCCTGGGCTGCCTTGCAGATCTCTCTCTCTCTCTCCTCCCCCCCCCCGCGCGGAGGGTGATCCAACTCGAGCCTCCCCAGGCTGCTGCCGCTGCTCTGCTCTGCTCTGTACAATCTGTGCATTAATTCAGCCCGATGCCCATCCCCCCACTTCTCTCTCTATCTCTCTCTCTATGTGGCGACGGAGGAAGAAGATGATTCTCAGCCACATTTAGAAAGATCTGAGGAGCCTGCGCCTCTCTTTCTCTCTCATCAGTTCTCGGTGGCCTTCTTCCCTCACTCGTCGGCCGTCTACCTCTTCTATTTTCAGCCCGATTTCTTTGGAGATCGGTACCTCCGAGAAGACGACTGAGTGAGGGATCGAAGCAATCTCTCTCTCTGCCTATCTCGTTGCGTAGAGGCAAAGCAATGACGACCGAGTAAGAAGGGAGAGCCCGGAAGGGTAGAGGGCGAGGGGCTGCCGCTGGCGGCGGTTTCAACGAGTTCGCCGGAGTTTTCGTCGTTTGGCAGCGGCGGCAGGATCTCGCTAGCCCGTTGACCTTGGCAGCGGCGTCTACAGGGACATTCGAGAAGCGAATCGCGAGGTCTGACTCGGCCCCCACACTGGCTGGCCTGTCACTCGCAATCGGTGTCATCTGCAGAACCCGGAGAAAAGTCGCCGGCGTTTGAACCAGAGAGAAGAAGTTCCAGAAGAAAAGAACAAGGAGGGAGATGATGACATCTCCCCCGTCGGGAGGAATGGATTTCTATGTACATCGATCCCTCTCCCGTGCGAGGACCACGCCGACGACGGCGACAACGCCGGCGGCGATTCCTTATGCTCTCCGGCAGCCCCACCGCCGGCGGCGTCCTCTGGGAACAGGGCGGGGGAAAGGGGAAAGGAAGGGGGGGGTGTTTATCTTCCCATTTCCGTCTCCCTTACGAGGAAGAAGGGAAGACGAAGCCACCAGCGGCAGCGGCGGCGGCGGGGAGCCTCTGGTCGTGGTGGCGGTGCTCGCCTTCGTAGGTGACGATGAGCATGGAGGGGTCGTCGGTCGCTCTCTCCACGTGCTTTCTCGCTGGGCAGCCCCTCTGTGTGCTGCACTTGTAGTACCCTCTGCAAATCGGAGGAAATCCCCATGTTCAGACGAAGAAGACGAAGACCCAGACGGAGAAAACCCCGTATATCCATAGCCTCTGTCTATGGCTCACCGTGGGTAGGGGGATCCTTTGATCGGCTTCTGCCCGTATTTTCTCCACGAGAACTCGTCTGCCGGGATGTCCGCCGGCTTGGAGCTCACCGCCGGCACTCTGATCGTCCTCTTCACCCGAGATTTCCTGAATCGGGAGAAAATCAAACTCTTAAGTCCTCGGATTTCAGAGGCGAATCGCCGCCATGAGCGAGTAGTTCTTGGAGGAGGAAGAGGGGTTTGGTTACCTTTTCTTGGAGCAATGGCAGCGAGCGCCGGGGAGAAGGTGCTTCCCCGAGAGATCGCCGTGGGCATGGCACTTCTTCTTGTAGGAGGAGGAGAGGGGGGGCTTCCCGGCGGAGACGGCAGCGGTGGGCGCGGCGGCGGCGGCGGCGGCGGCGGCGGCGGGAGCGGCGGCGGCCAAGAGCGACAGGCCCAGCGTCCCGTTGGACACGCTGGCCTCTCCGGTCATGAAAGACGAGTTCGCCGACGACATGCTAAAGCTGTCCTTGCTGAACTGACTAGCGGCGGCGGCGGCGGCGCTCGGCTTGGTGAAATCCAGCGTGATGGGCCGCGGCGGCGCCGCCGGTGGCGATGGCGCCGGGGCAGCGGCCGCAACGGGTCCCCTGCGGAAGCGGGCATGGCCCGTCCTGTTCATCAGAGAGATGGCCTTCTTGAACTTGGCGACGGTGAGCTCTGCGATCTCCCGGCAGTCCGCCGGCGGCGACCTGCTCCGGTCGGAGAGCTGGAAGATGAGCCGCTCCATGTTGTGGATCCCCGCCGTCGCCGCCTCCTGGATCGCCATCTGGTCCTCCATCTTCGCGTAGCCCATCGTATCCACCGCCATCAATCAAATCCCTCTGTTTTCTCTGCACAGTGGAAGTTCAAGAGCCATGGCCAGGAGGAGCAGAGGGGGCCCTTTTTATGGAGAAGGGAGGAGGAGTCAACTCCTTCTCTTTCTAAACGGACGGTGGAGATCTCTCAGATTCCACCTCGCGATCTGAGCCTTCAACAACCGCCTCCCCACCCCCACACGGTATTCCCCAAACCGGAGCGTCGGTTATTTTCCGAAATACCCTCACTTAACAAAGAGTTACAAAAATGGTATAACTTAATTTATTTTCTGATGTGCCCTCTCTATGTGCCGCGACGTTGTATCGTGTGACTTCCGAAGGGGGACCTATATATAATTTTTTTCTTTGAAGAGTTTTCGGGGTATTGGATATTAAATAGGGGATAAATGAATATTGCGAAGTGTGGTATCTTCTTCCAGCAGCGGTGGTCCACGGGAGAATTGTCCAAGGGACGAGTGCCCCACGTGCCGGACCTCAGCTTCGACTCTCGGGGGAGAAGAGTTGACCGGGGGAAATCTAGCGGATTTTAGGATATCAGAACCTTCTCCTCCCGCCACGTGGTCAACTATCCGGAGATCCAACGATGATCCTTCAATAGCGTCCCCCCTCGAGAGTATCCCGGGAAGATCTCCTCTTTGACTGCCCTTCCAATAACGGCAAGAGTAGATCCATCAATCAAAGTCTACCGTTCAGCGCGTTGACTTTCTAGATTGGCCGGCTGCAAACCTCTTTAAGGGGACTCTACCAGGTCAAAATTTGTCCACGAAAGAGAAAACTTTGTTTATTCAAAGTCTTAATGCATTTAAATCCATTAACGGGCCTCAGTTCAACGGAGTGTTAAAGAAAAAAATCCAACGAAAATGGCCTCGTAGCGTTGACCTAGTTAGAAGTCATAATGAACTTCGAACGGGGACCCGTAGAACAAGATGGGTTATAAGATATATTCTACTATATTTATAAATAATGAATAAAAAAATAGAGGGAACATGAGAGAGAAAGAGAGGAGTTAGTGGGACTACGGATAGGCGTTGTCGCGTAGGCATCGGAATGGGGTGCCAAAGTTGACTTTTGTTCTGACTTTTCGGGATTCCCACAAAGCCCCCGTTGATAGAGAGAGAGAGAGAGAGCGAGAGAGAGAGAACACGTCGGTGTAAAGGAAAGGAAAGGAAAGGAAAGGAAAGGAAAGGAAAGGAAAGGAAGGGAAGGGGAGGGAGGAGGAAAATAAGAAGACGGCAACACGCAAAGCACAAAGTCAACGTTTCTTAAACGAGGGGGAGGGCGAATCCAAACTAAAGCTAGCGTCCAACGGTAACATTTCTTTCTCGATATCTTCGACGGCAGCCAACGGTAACATCTCTCGTGCACGTTTCCGGTCAATATATTTTACTAAAAATGGAAATTTCGGTGTCGGTGTCGAAAGTCAAGCTCGATGATCCGACCTTGTGCACAATGTGGCCGCCGCCCAATTATCTGGCTGGAGCCCGCTATAAGTGGGGTCCACTGATTTTCGCCTTAATCGCCATCGTTACCTCCGTGATTATTCGTCAGATCCCAATATTATGAAAAAGGATCAACGTTGGGTGACAGCTATGTCGGCATGGGTCAACGGAAGCTGACGTTTCATCTCCGCCCACTTGGCCTTTATCGGGGGGGGATGCACCTAATGCGGTTGGGAAAGAAGGGGAGGAGTTGTTCCCATTAGTCAAGGAACAGTCAGCAGGTCATATCCCCGTGCCAGCACGTGGCCACGAGGTCAACCGACGCCAATTACCACGAGTGGGGGGAGGGGGGGGGTGGGCGCTAGGAGCTCGTGAATCGTATTGATTCGTCATTAAGTCGGCAGGGACTCGCGTTGACTTTTATTATAGAGGGGACCGGAGGGGGGCCATGAAGTCAACGTCTTGTCCGGGATTCGTCAGACAAGGTTTCTTTTACGCTAAGGGATGAAGTGAGATGGGCTGATCCAAAGGCCAGTCCGAGTCGGAGGAGCCGCCACCTCCTTGTCCCGAGCTAAAGTTGACAAATTGCCGACAAATTGCACGCTCATCTCCTAAAAGTCAACTCTGGTTTTTTTTTCTATATATCGTAAAATATATTGCAAAATCGGTTATTATTAAATGCTCATACGACATAATCTAGATAAACCCATATTTTACGCACGCACATTTAAAAAATAAATATTTTAGTGGACAAGGAAAATATCACATTTTTTAATTATATCTGTTTATTTAATAAATTAATAATATTAAAGGCTAGCGAAAGATTGGCGGCCTAGGAAAATGGATGATATCATATTATTAAGATATTTATAAAATATGAATTTCACTATTTATTTCTCTTCTCATTATTAATCAATTCCATGTCCTCTCCCATTGATAACAATTCCTGATTTCCACCGATTTTACTACAACCCAAACGCTAAGAATCCAAATCATATAAAAGAATAAAACATCAGCATACCTACTATTATTAATAATTATTATTTTTAATATGATTCTATTTTTTTCAAATTAATTTCTTGACATGGAAATCTACACGTAAATCAACTATTTGATATTGCAATGCCCTTAAAAATGTTACTATTTTAGGTTATTTAGTTATTTATCTCTTAAAAGTTATTTGAGAGTGAGTAAGGTTCCAGTACATAACATTATTGAGGATAGCAACAAGATCCAGCTTTGAATCTACAAACTATGAACCCTGATGAAAAAAATCAAGTTATTAATCGTCAAAACTGAAGGCTTTGACCCTTGAATCCACAAAGGGTTGACCTTAAATATAGAAATATAATTTATTTATTTTACTCAAATAGGGGGAGTTTGAATCCATAAGTAGAGAGAGATGACTTTAAAAGAAGATAATAATTGTAATACTTTCACAATGGTGTAACTTTCTATATGTTTAAAAAAGAGTTGGTTCACCTCCCATACATAGTAAATAGGCCTTTAAAATAAAAACATACTCTAAAAAATAATCAAAATAAATTATAACACGACTGAAATAAAAAATGAAAATAATAAAATAAATTATGAAGAACAAGTAGATTATACCATTTTTGTTATGGCCTAATTCCAAAGTGGCTGGGCCTCTAGTTTTACACTTGGGGGCTACTAATGAGCTGTCACATCATGATTTGTGGAAGCTCACGTGGCATGTGAACATGGTGTCCAAGCTTCAAGATCATACACTGCAAAGGCCCAAAAGCCCAAAAACAACCCTTATAAGGGGAGAGGCTTTGGGCTTGTGATTATCAATGGATCATATTCCGGACTTACCAGCCCATTAAACGTGTAATCAATAGGATCCCGTGAATGGAGAGAGAGAGGAGCGTCCCACAGGTCACCATGCAGGAAGGTGGAGTGTGGACACCTGCATCTCTCCTTCTCTTCTTCTGTCAAGTGTTGTCCTCGGGTGGCTCTCGTCGATACCAACAAGTACCTCCCCTTCCTCCTCATCCGTCTCGTCCGTCCTCCTCCTTCCGACGATCTCAGACTCCTAAGGTCGTCTTCTCCGTCATCTCCGCTTCTCCCTCGAAGCCTGTTGCAGACTCAGAAAAGCCCACCGTCTTGTGGGAACTCCCACCATGGTCATTCAGATTTCTCCTGCAAGTACGCCGAATATTTTAAGAGAGCAGATCGATACTGTGAGCCCGGGAAGGAGAGACGAAGGTTTTGAAAATCAGTGCATAATTCAGGGGCATATTGGCCACGCAGTCGTACTCGTTCGCCAGTTTTAGGTCTTCTTCAGGTGCATTACTGACTCATGCCACCAGTACAGGAAACCTCTCTCTCTCTCTCTCTCTCTCTCTCTCTCTCTCTCTTTCTCTTTCTCTCTCACCAACTTCGCTTCCCTCTCTGTGCTTTGGAAGAATGGGTTTGGAAGGCGTCGCTGAGGAGGAACCGATGAGGAGCCCATCGCCGGCGGCGGCGGAAGTGGAGATGAAGAAGGAAGAAGAAGGGTCGGAGACTCCCAGGTCCAGTATTTACCGGCTGAAGTCCGCGCTGACCTGCCCGGCGGCGCCGAGGAAGCCACAGGCGAGGTCAAAGAGGAAGGCGAGGCGTCCGCAGGGCTTCTTTCCGGTGCCCTGGGATCTGGGCTCGGTGTTCTTTCCGGTGCCCTGGGATCGGCTCCGCTCGAGAAGAGAATTCGAGCAGGGTGATGGACACCGTTTCCGCCTGTTAATCTCGCGTCTCTCTCTCTCTTCTTCACCCGTTGTCGGTAGAACAAAATCTACTTTTTTCCCTTTTCTCTTGCTCAATTCTATTTATGATGACTAAATATGAAGGGAATCGGGAGTAGGTTTTAAGTTTCAGTTACTTATTAGGATTTTTCAACGTATGGGAGATTATTTCAGTATTGTAACGTAAATTGGTTTCTCATCGTCACTCTCTCTAATGCATGATTTCACGCATTTGACGGCCCAACTCCACAGGGGAGAGAGAGAGAGAGAGAGAGAGAGAGAGAGAGAGAGAGAGAGAGAGAGAGAGTCGCAGTTCCAAACTTTTAGGCTACATGGAGAAGAGAATCTCAGTGTAAAAGAACCCTACTTTTAGGCTACACGTAGACGAGAAAATAGTCCTAGATACTGAGATTTGAAGGTCCTAACTCTTAGGCAACGTGAAGACAATCAGAGAGAGAGAGAGAGAGAGAGAGAGAGTCGACGTGCTCCGCAAGGAAAAAATATTGATAGGTCTTAGATTGAGAAAAATATTATGTTAGTGGAATAATCAACCGCTGCTTCCGACGTCCGCAATTCCAAGCCCGAAAACGTTGACCAGATCCCCCGGCATCTAAAACCTGAATCGGCCAGACTTTCAGAGCGCTGTCCGAAGGAAACCTCTGGCGGAAATCATCTCCAGTAGAACTGTGTCCGAATGTCCGCCGATAGTCCTCGCCCTTTGTTTGACTGGTGAGCTGCACACGTCAGAGCCCCATCCAGCCGCGAAGCGGCGATCGTCCGTTGACCGGACTTGGGCTCATTAGAGGTCGAAGGCGGCGGCATGAATCCTTCAGCAAGCCATTGGTGTTTGACTTTCCTAGTGGACTAATTTTCTAGAAACCCTCCCAAGGCGAACCCAGCCGCAAAAGTCAGCGTCAACTTTGGTGACCCACTCAGCGTCTTTCCACGTTCTTGGTTTGGCAAAACCCACCAGACGGATAAGAATGGACAGAAAGAGTCAAAGTTTAGACGGTCAACGAGATAAGTCTTTCGATCACTAAACCTTATTTTTTGGTGTCGATTTCATGTTTTTGCTATTTATATCTCTATTATTAGATGTACGACACGTCATCTCTCTCTCTCTAGCTGTCCATGGTTAGAGAGAGAGAGAGAGAGAGAGAGAGAGAGAGGGCGCGGTCGGCGGCACAACTCTTTATGAGGCGTTTATTATGACGGCCATCACCGTCAGTCTTGCCTTCCTCGTTTGGCGTTGACGGAATCCACGAGAGTTCCAGACCGTGGGATACGATTCTTAGGAATGCTTTCGGGACAAGCACCTGTTTGAATGGTCATTTTATTCTGTACCCGAATATAAAATATAATGTTACATGTAGACATACGCTGAGGAAATATAAGGCGCCGTGCACAGTGCAATTTGCTTTGAGACCCCTGCATCAAGAGATCCTTTCGTACAAGCCACGTGCTAGCGTGAGGAAAGAGATCATACAATACAAACACATAGGAGCAACTTAAGCTAACTTCACCGTTGGCGGAGGAGCCCTCCAGTTTTACCAGGTAAAGGCGGAGCCGCGGATAAAGGCGAAGCACCTCACCGCGGTCGCCGTCTTAATCCTCGATTAGCCACGGGATTAAGGGGGCTCACGAGCTTCCTGTGCGACTTGAAAGAGAGAAGGTGGCCGAGGGAGAGAGATAGGACTTTGCCTCCCTATCTCTCTCTCTCTCAAGGGTCCCTTCCGTAGCTCGCGGAGAAGAGCCCATGGCGTACGTCGACCACGCCTTCTCCATTTCCGACGAGGACATCATGGTGGAAACATCGTATGTCGCCCAGAACCGGCCTCCGATCAAGGAAATCGGGCTCGCCGTCGCGATGCTCTTCTTCGGGACCCTGGCCATCGTCTTGGGGTTCGTCATGGCCGCAAACAGGGTCGGCGGCGACAGAGCCCACGGTATGAGTGCCGCCCTTGCCCTGGCTCGGTTTTCCGGCTCCTTCTACTGATCCATGCTTTGTTCTGACTTCGGATTGCTTGGTCGACGTAGGACTTTTCTTCGCGGCCTTGGGAGCGGTGCTGTTTCTTCCAGGGTTCTATTACACGCGGATCGCGTACTATGCTTACAAAGGTTACAAGGGATTCTCCTTCGCCAACATACCTCCAGTCTGATGCTCTTGTTCGAGGTCCTGGAAACTCTTTTTGTTCTTTCTTCTTTTTTTAAAATTTTATTCAGCCTATGTACAGAAACCACAGATCACTTAGAAAGATTTTGCCCTTTGCCTGCACGAGGCGATACCCAAGCTAATGAAATGGAATAAACTGCTATGTAAATTATTCGAGACCAGATGCTCCATTTTCATGTTGTCCCGATTTTAATCGCTAAGTAATGGCAGTGTCCGTACACTTAAATCCAAATACGAAATTTGATACGCCACTCGTTGCCGAACTAACATGATCTCTTTTCTGTTCTCTTTGTTCCTAAGTTTATTTGTCATGGTGGACAGCCAATTATCCCTGAGATTGTGAGATCAGTGAGTCTGGCCCTTCTGACAAGATCTATTATGGCTATGCCCTGCCGTCTTGTTTGAGCTGATTTAAGTCTAATCCGAACAAGAAAAACATTCTCTCTGTATTTCAGTTTATTTTTCTCATATTTTTGGTTATTTAGCTTGCAAAAGTAAATTTGTTCCATTGAATTGTCTCGTATGTGTTGAAGGTTTCTTTCAAATTTATTCGCTGAAAAAGTGGCTTAAAATTTTAAAAAAAATGGTTTGGATAATGTCTGTTACCTTGTCCAATTTTTTTTTGGTCCTAGAAGAACCTTTTTTCGTCATAAAGCAGTAAGGAATTGTCATTTTTTGGCTGTCCACCTACTTGACGGTGACCTCTGGTATTGCCATCAAAAGATGAATTTTATGCTATTTCATGTCCAAATTATTAAGTTGAATGATACATGCAAGATCCACGTTGAAGCTTGGCCTAATTGAATTTTCTATACATGGTTCTGACTTGTTTAACTGAAGCTAAAGTCTTTAGTTCGTGTTTTTTTTTTTTCTTGGGCTTTTATTTCTTGTTCAAAGATTGACTTGTCCTCGGTCTGATAGAAGCATTCCACAACTGCGCTTGATTCATTTACTCATCTGAGGTTGACTCTGTACCCCTACATGATTCGAGAATATGGCTTCGTATTCTTTTAATCATATACATCTTCGTATTTTCTTTTGCTCGCTATATATATATATATTTTATTTTTTTTCACTGATGCTACTTCCCTTTGTTTTAATGTAAGAGAGAATTTTATATCATATTTCAATCACTTAGTTTCTCGGAAGGATGCCCTGTTGTTTTTTTGTTTTTTTTTTTTTTTCGTTGGTAAGAAAAAAATCCAGTATAAGTTGAAATTATATGGCATGATCTGATGAGCCATCAAATTTCCATGCCAAACGCTTGTTGGCATATATGGAACGATTTCCATATCTGGAATTCGCCATGTGTAGAATCGATTCCCTAGGCTTGCTGTGATGGAGACTATTTCTTCTTTCTTTTGCCATCCTACAGCAAGGAAATAAGTTGCTCCTCCTTGTTATTCGTGTTTCCTGTGTTCTTCCTGTTCCTCACTAATGAGCGGTTGACTGCTGCAGACCAAGAATCTGTGGTGTCTGTTCTATTCTATTGCTTCCATTGAGCTCTGTTCATGGATCTATCTGTGAGGAATATCTTGTTATTTTTGTCGTATTTGAGGCAGGAGATGGCCTCGAAGTCAACTGCGGATCAGTTTTCCAATGAATGCCATATATCGAAACAAGTCATATGATTCAGTGATTTAGTCAACGGTGGATCATTTATGGGACAAGTGCCACAAAACTTTGTAAGAGAACCTTAATGTGATGCAAACTAGTCCCCATCATGGAAGGTTGAGTTACTCAGCTTTGAAGAACAATGCGAGGGGCTGGGTTGTCCCCCTCCTCCTCCTGTTCTTGAAATTTGAATAGCCAGAACGGTCAATGATGGAAATCACAGGGAGAAATAAGGCTTTTTTATATGTAAAAAAATATACAGATTTATCTTGCTATATTATGTTTTTAATTATAAAAAGAAGGAAACAGGGCATGCTATAAATGCATGTGATGCCCATTTTAGACTCTTGCAAAAATATCTGGGTGTAGACATTTTTTTAATTAAAATTATTTAAATTTTAAATATAAATATTTATCGGGAAGTCATAGCAAGTAATGAGGCTATTATTTTAAAACATTGATACTTTGTAAAGTTTCACCCCTTCATTTTTTTTTCTAATTTTTGTGCATTTTATATCTCATGTCCCTCTTGTTATGATTTTTTGAATATCTTCAGCATTTTAAATGATTATGAATACTTTGTAAATTTTGATTGATTTATTTATTTTAAGTTTACGTGATGCAAGTATTTATATAGAAATTCTGGGATGAAATAATTTTTTTTATTTAAAAAATATCTATTTTCCAAATATTTGCCCTTGACTTTTAGGTAATGAAAGAAACTGTATAAACGAATACCATGTCGTTTTATTGGCTTTTCCCGCCAAAATTAGCTCCTTAAATGATTTTTACTTTTTTAAGACGCTACCAAAAAATCGGATAAACATGTGATTTTTTATTTAATTTATTTCCATTTTTTGCTGCTCTAAGTGAAGTTGTAGAAAATGATAATGTTATTTTTAAATTTAACATTTTCCGCTTAATAAAAATTGCACTTCACCGTCAAATTTTCCATTTTACATTATTTATAAAATAAATAATTTTTAAAACCACTCAAATCACCCTCCTTTATTATACTAACATAATATTTTAATGCATCATAACATTATATATTGTGAACGAATTTATTATTCCACACCCAAATATTTAACATTCATCGATAAATAGCAATCCTCTTCTTTGTGGATTCAATCTCTGATTTCTTCCTCTCTCTCTCTCTCTCTCTCTCTCTCTCTCTTCATGTGGGAGTATGACTATAGGGAAAAGGCTCCCAAAAAGGTCAACACATGTTCTATGTAGACATCAAGGTAGTCCACTGTTCAGAGTAGAACATAGTTTATTATATTTTTATGTCAAGAGTGAAAAATAAACGAACTCTTCAGAGATATAAATCCCGAAAATAATTTAAACGTGGCGACACGATTTATTTATTTTATTTATTTTGGAAATAAACGAACCCACTTTCAACTAAGATCCAACTGAACCTGTCTACGCTTTCAACGGTTGTGGATGGGATTCTGTGCGTGTGGGAGGGGGTTGACTTGGGTTTTGACCCTCTCAAGGCCAGACGAGTCTGATATGTGGTCAAATCTAGGTGGGTCCCAGCCTAGAATCTGATTTTGTGTGGCTAAACCGAAGCGGGACTGGTCCGCTGACTCCCCTTCTAAGACAACCCATCGGTCTCAAGACTGGGACAAGCTGTCGAAACCATTTTAGAAGTGATTCAATGTTCTGTTACTGGGGAATTACTTCATTTTAATTTATACGAGTTTTTTTTCCCGAAAATTCGAATGGGTCTGAGAAAAGATTCTTCAGACTGCGAAATTCTTCGGAGAAAAGTCAGCCGGAAGCAGATGAGACGTGAAGGGCCTAGAGAGAGAGAGAGAGAGAGAGAGAGAGAGAGAGAGAGAGAAAGAGAGAGAGAGAGAGAGAGAGAGAGAGAGAGAGAGAGAGAGAAGCCACGTGGCAATAAATATTTATACTCGAATGCTGTGGGACCTAGCTCAGTCTTCCTGAAGGTAATATAACAAGAGCAACCAAAGCAGCCTCCGGCTAGGAAGTACTTTACATCACACTAAACCAAGAGGATCCGATACAAGCTCACACTGAGATGAATCCCCAGCGTTGACCCATGAACCAATGAGAGAGAGATCATACCCCGCAAGGTCAAGGTCAACGTCGTCGCGCTGGTTAGACACCAGCTCACTTGGTCAAATAGTAGACCAGCAAGAAGATCGCCACAAAGGACGCCACGAGGGTGGCCATTCTCCGGCTCGACTTGGTCTCGAACACCTGGCGTTGACCCCATCAGAGGAGTTAATCTGGTGGGGTCATTTTGGAGAATTATGGGGACAATCCGATAAGGAAAAAAAAAAGAAAAAAAGGTACCATCTTGAATCGGTCCATGGTTCCGGAGAGAACCCCCCTTGATGCATCCATGTCGTTGCCCTAAATCCAGCACAGGGGAAATAAACTAAATGCTGCTATTGTATGTACATGAGGGTGCCAATGGAGTCGCAGCAGGTTTGGGAACGCACCATTCGATCCAGCACGCGGTTGTGGCTTTCGACCTCTTCGTTTATATCGCCAGTCAACTGTTCAAGAAGTCAACGTATGAAGCGCGGAAGTTGAATGGTTGACTTATGGTAGAGTGGGCACAAATTAAAAATGAGAATTGAAGAATGAAGCAGGGTAGCAAGATTCCATGGAAGCAGAGTCGACTGATGAGTAATGAGGACGGAGAAGTAGAGAGAAGTTGACTTATTTGTGTATGAAAACTTCAATGAAGGAAGCAAAGCATTGACTCTGAGCACAAGAAGGAAAAATGCAAGCATGAAAATTGTACAATAAGTGGAAACATAGTCAACGGTTCATGTGGCTTTTAGCCTAGGCCAGAGAGTAGCATTGAGTTTCGTCACCTAGTTTTGACCAATAAAAACTGAAATACAGGCCAATGGATACCTCTCTCATTGTCTATACTCTTTTTCATCATCTGGCAAATATAGATTCACATAGTCAACGCTTTCGAGGAATGTAAGAGCGCAGTTTCCGGGAAAAACAAAAGAGTAATGTTTACTATCATTCCCCTCCTGTCATAGGTCAACAGAGTGAAAAAAAGAAGAAGTAACACGTCAGCATGATTAGCTACCCACAATCCCTTGCTCAATGAAAAATGGATGTGATATCTGAGATGGTTGAGAACGAAACAAAGCTGCAAAGTAGTTATTTCATCCAATGGACTTACTCTCTTTAGTATATTAACTCTTTCTTCCAACCCATCAAGAGCTCTATCATTTTCATGCTCATCAATTTCATGGGAAGCATAGGATGGAGAGGCTCTGATGCCACCCTCCTCGATGCCATCAAATAAAGCAGTTCTGCTGGTCCGATAATCTCTGCAAGAAAAAACGTAATTGGATGAAAAAAAAACTATGAATTATGTAGAAGTTACAGCCAAATATTTTGCAGTAATAAAAAGTAGAAAAATCAATTTCACATGATTTTTTTCGTATAAACTGATTCAAGGCAGTAAAGCTTGTCAAACACGCTGATTAGTAGCTAAGTGAAAAAAAAAAAGTTGCCTTCTAAAAGCAAAAAGTTTCAAGATACATTGTAGAAGGGAAAGAAGGAAGCCGAACCTCCTGGAATTCATCTTCTTGGCACAAGATTCGGGTCCTCAGACTCAGAACTTTATCCTCTTTTGGAAAATCTTCTATGCACCAAAGATGGAAAATACCACTATAAGCTCGTCCCTCCCATTCTGTGTGAAGCAATGTTCAAAATAATCAAGCACTCAAACATTCCTCCTAAATGCTAACTCAAAACAGAAATCAAGCAGGAAAATTACCACCAACAAATGCCTACATCATAACACGTAACTAAAGAATACCTTCCAGGATTCGAAGACAGTAAATAAAAATAAAATGTATCATTATAGGTGCTGATATTTTCAAGTATAACAGGTAAATATGCATTAGGGTTGGTTCAGTTCGAAACCAATCCCAATGCAATAAACCAGATATATCTGCAACAAAAAAAAGAAAAAAAAACATTCCGATTTCCCGACAGTTTGTAGAAAATGGTAACCAAGAAATGAATTATGGGACATGATCGAGGGTTTCCAAAGCATATACAGGACCCAAATGAAGGAAAGTAACAAGTAAAAATCGTGTAGTTCGTGTGTTTTACAAGTAATGCATGACCAGAAAAGTAATTGATTTAAGCACCTTTTCACTGCACAAAGTTTACAAAGTTCGTTTGCTAGTAAATTCAGTCTTTTTACTGAGTAACCGAAGCAAGCATGGTTCAGCGTCCATAGCATACATATAGAGAAACAATTAGAGAATGGTATCTTGATTATTGATGCCATCTATGTTGTTGTTTATGTCATTGTTTCCGACGCAAGATGATATTTTTCGCACCATTTTTGGATACTTTTAAAAATGAAAGGCTTTTGACAACCAAAGTGGCAATCGGATGACAACTAATGCCAATGTATTAAATGTTTTGCCAATAACTTTCACTTATTGATTGCCTAACCATGTATTTAGGTCATACGTCACAAATTTTACAGACCGAGACATTGGCAAGGCTTCAGGAATAATGAACAACTGAAAGAAAAGCATCTTACTAATATATAACAACATTGGAGAATTGATAACAATTTTCCAAAAAATTGAGATCGAAGAAAAAGCTTCCGATAAGATGGCACTAAAGAAAAAATGAAAAAAATAAATACTACACTAATATGAAAGTTTCAACAATATTGAACTTCATTTCCTACAAAAAAAAAGAAGCAAGATTCTCGGCCAGATGAAAAAGAAGGGGCATTAACGGCATTTTTTTTTTAATCCCCAATCTATCCACTGCAGAGACCATCTCCGCCGAGCAAGAACGAACTAAGGAAGAGAGCAGATCCGGAGAGGGTGGCGGTGTCCGAGAGGAGTAAGCACACATCCCTCCCCAAATGCGAACTCGATAACAGATCCACTGATCACGCGCAGAGGATGAGGAGTTACGACGCACCAGACGCCCCACCGATGCCGTCGGGATGCCGAAGAACGACGGGGAGGAGCCGACAGCGAAGACCGAGGAAGAGGGTGGACGGTTAGCGAGACGACGAAGGAAGATTCTGGACTCGCTCGCCCACAGGTTGTTGACCATCAATAATCTCACTTATTTTATGTAAACCTTAATCAACTTTTAATTTCTTCTATATCCTCATATGTTGATGTACCAACGGATCGGGCCCGGGCCGATACCGGGCTTTTTATATAATAGGAAGAGATGGGCTTAAGCTGAAAAGCCCCGCCCGTTAGTTGAAAACAGTTTGAAAAAAAAGCTACATGTTCTCTGCTTCGCTCTAAAGGAAAAAGACGGCGATCTCTTCCTTCTTCCCGCTCTGGGCGGCGATGGCGGGCTGGAGCGAGACGTCGATGGTGGCGGGCCAGGGGAAGAAGCCCCCTAAGCGTCTAGGGGGAATGGCGGAGGCCCTCTCCATTGCTTCGGATCTGGGATTTGCCATCCCTCCCGTCCAGGTAGGGACGGGTTCAGAAAGGGGTGGATAGAGTGAAGAGGAACAACACATTTTTGCTCCAGTTCTATGTTTGCCGCTTGTATTTTCAATTTTTATTTGCGATTTTTGTCTGTGCATTTTTTTTTGGGATCATTGTCGCGTCTCATTTTTGGTTCTTCGAATTGGTGTTTGATTCGCTTTTTTTTGTTTTTGTCTTTATTGGTTTTCTGACGTTGGTGATGAACTAATGTGCTGTGAACAACGAAATTTGTGTTGTACGGAATTTTTTTGCTTCTCTATTGAGAATTTTTATGCATTCCTGTAACATACGTCTGTGGGAGATATGCTGTGTTGGAAAAGTCATGGAACAGAGAAGACGTGGCGTGATCAAGATCCTTTCAATATGATGCGACATCGTCGCACGTGTAGCACATCGATGAATGTGAAATCTGGGATTCTTGCACAGAATTGTCTTTCTTTGATGCTGTCGATTTGCTGATGCTTATTAAGCTTACACCTTTTCATAGGAAGACAGGCAAAACATGCCTATCTCATCTCCCGGCGATAAAAATGATGAGCTGATAAGGATTCTGAGAGAGCTTACTTCGGTTCAACGAAACATTGCTACTTTGCAAGTGGAACTACAAGGAAGGAAGGTTAGGCTCATAAATAATTGTTTAGTAATCAATTTTTGATTTTTTTCTTGCATGCATATGTTTTTCCCTATTTATTATCGGACCCATTCACATTATCAGTACCGTAAGAACTGTCATCAGTTACCTATGATAGTGAGTGGGTATCTTAATTGTCCTTTTCTTAATGTGGAGTGCTCAACTACATTCATGCTTACCTCTTCTGTTTTCCAATGCAATCTTTGTATGCTTCATAATAGTCAATTTTTACTCTGGCTGAATGATTGCACCCATAGGCAATTAGATGTTTTAAGGGATGCCTCCACTGATTCCGATTCAAATATGGTGGAATGACTTATATATAAGGTTTAGCTGAAAAAATGTTAATTCGGATTTGTGGAACGCTAGTCTGCTGTTACTTGTTTCGTCAAGTTGACGTGTATCTGGTAATCACGTAAGTTGACTCATTTTTCACGGTTTTTTTTAATACTCGAATCACAATTTTCATCTGAGTCCATATTTTAGGGTTTTGAAATAAGTACATTTTTTCTATTAAAGGAATATAAGAATTAAATTTCTGCAAGTGAGCTCCAAATCAGCTTGTATTATTGCAGTTCACGACCAAATCGTTGTAACATGAGCATATTTTCTGGTTGTCTTATCAAAGATCGATACTGCCAACCTCGGAATCTGCTAGCAACGTAGCTAACCTATTATTGGCATCAAATGGCTTCAGAAGTTTATGGTTCCCTAGTGTTGCATTCAGTTAAAGCATTACTTTTGAGTTTTCAGGATGACAAGAATGTTGCTCATCTAACGCATGTGAGTGAAATGGAAAAGAAGATCGAGTCCTTGGCAAGAATGACTACCATCTTGAAGGACGTCATTCAAAACAAGGTGAGACGTTTCTACAACACACTGTTTATGATTTTTTTCATCTTTCACCCCATTGAACGTTCTTACTTCTTCCTAGTTCAGGATCTACGTTAAAGTAATTTACCAGGACCTTTTGGTTCCAGTAACCTCAAAAGTTCTTCCTATTAATATCTCTGAATAACTCGCTCTGAGGGTCATGGTCAGGGTAAATACAGCCATCTTGATTGGAAGTGGGATGAATTAGATGGGGCAGCTTGACCCAATCGTCCCTGCATATCTCCTATTCCTGGAGAATCGGGCCTGATTAACTAGAAATGTTAGAAGTATTTGATGATAATCTGCATTAAATTTGTCAGGCAGGATACATTCTTATCGGAGTGAAGGGAATTTCTTCAATTTTCATCAGGTGAACTTTGGGATCAAGTGTTATGTGGAAGAATCTACTAATGTCGGATGATAGTCGGGTTTTCAGGGATGATTAGTATTGAAATACTGCTTGCCGTATGCGCTGGAATGAGGGGTTTTTAGCATTGAAATACTGCTTTAAGTAAAGAAGTGTTTGATTCCAAGAAGAAAAGTGTGCACGAGTTCTAAATCAGCATATTTCTTATTAATATCTGTTTAATATCATGCTGATTGTTTAGATGGCATATAGTTCTGGAGTTTCATTTCTTGTTTGGGATTGCTCCTACGGTGTCTTGGTCAATCATAGATTTTTCGGACTCAGCTGCTGTGGGAACCTAGGAAACCTAGGAAACCTAGGAAAACCAATTATTATTATATTATGATAGATTATTATTATTATGAGTTGCTCAAATCTCTCATTGTCCCCAACACCAACCCGGAAGGAAATCACAACTCTCATTGCAACCTACATGTATCTACAAGTTCTCAGCGAGATCAATGGATGCTTGCAAAACGAAGAAATCACAACTCTCATTGCTTTAGAGAATTATCATCGTTGAAGGTGATGCGCTTTTTTTCTTGCCAGGATCGTATCATTGCTCGGCTTCAGCAACCATATTCTCTAGATTGCATTCCAGTGGAAGCAGAATATCAGGTGGGCCATGCTTCTTTGATGTTCATTATAATATGGACCTCGTGGCTGCAGATATTGTTCCAACACTTTCGTATCATCTATAATTTCAATAAGCAGGTGAAGAAAAAAATTAAAAAAATTCGATTTACTAAAAGAAATACCAATTTACTATTTGCAGTAATTAGAATCCTCTTTTTCGGGGTTCTGGCCATTATTATTTGTATTTTATTTATTTATTATGGTAGATAGATCAATGCCTTCATGTGGGTTGCTACAAATCTACGGTGACATTTTTTGTTTCGATTTTAGAAACAATTTTCGGAGCTTCTACTGAAGGCTGCAAGTGATTATGGGGCGTTGACTGCATCCATCGCTGACTTCCAGTGGAGCCAGAATTTCAAGGAACCACCGTCCGTCTGGGGGGTATGTTTCCTCCTGCGTTGACCTTTAGTAATGTCGTGAGTTTCTTATATGATGATTTAAGTTTCTATTGTTCACAAATAGAAATTCCGCTCGCAATTTCTCTACAATCTTACAGAAATTACTTTGGGTTGGTTGATTTTAGGGAACTTATTCTGCATGATTTCTGGGGAAATTATTGTAGTTAGGATATATTAATATTCATCGGCTTCTCGATGTTTTGCTTCTAAAAAAGGAAATGCTGCGTCCGATTCCCGCCGCCCTGGCGTCGTGCACGCGTTTCTTCGAGGCCTTGTCGGCTATGAAGGAGTCCTTCGAGACTCTGCAAGAGTTCCGCGTCGGCCACGCGTCCCCCCCGCCGCCCGCCGCCGAGTTCGTGACGCCGCCGCCGCCGCCACCGCCGAGAAGGGAGGCGGCGAGCTCCAACGACTCCGTCCTGGGCAGCTGGAAGACGCCGGAGGGTGAGAACAGAGTGGAAGTGGACGACCAGAGGAGGTCCTCTTGGCCTCCTTCCCTCGACAGGAGCCTGTAATCGATGAGAGAGAGAGAAAGAACAAGTGTATGGATCTTGTGTGAGTAAGTAAACCTTGGACCCTCTTCTTCTGAGCTAATGGTGGCGGCGGTGGCACTCCGGCGGAGGCCCGCGGGGGAAGCGACCCACGTCGGTGCAGTAGTTGTAGATCATGTATTTCCTCCGCACCCATGTCATCCTCCTCCGGCCGGCGGCGTCCAGCTCCCGGCAGGCGGCGGTGGCGGCGCCGCCCGGCGAGCGGCGGCAGCTTTCCACCAGGAAGTTCCTGTAATAGGCGGTGAAGGGCCCCTTTGACCAGTCGGTGTGGACCCTCCCTCCCCTCGTTGCCCACTCCTGAGCGGCCCACAGCGTTCCCCAGATCCTCATCACCCGGCCGGCGGGGAACGGCGCCGCCCTCTCGAACTCCCTGATGGGCGTCCCGTCCACGAAAAAGCTGCAATTTTTTTCACCCGTAAGAGAACCCATTAGATCGAAGAAGACGGGGCCGCCGCCGGAGTATCCATCTTCTCTCTCTCTCTCTCTCTGTTCTTACAGGATATGGCGGGGGGTCCAGAGGAGGGAATAGGTGTGGAAGGCCTTGGTGGGGTCGAACCAGAGGTAGAACTGCTGCTCCCTCTCCCCCTCCCCCATTACGTAGATATTCGTGTGCACCACGTACGGCTCCCCGCTGAGGTTCCCCAGGAACTCGAAGTCTATCTCGTCCCTCGCCGTTCCCCCTGACTGTAGCTGCATCTCCACACACAGAGAGACAGAGGCAGAGACAGAGAGATGGACAGACAGGTGTTAGCCTAGAGAAAGAGAGAGAGAGTAGCTGTAGCTGTAGCTGCATTTCCACGGACGGAAAGAGAGACAGAGACAGAGACAGAGAGATGGACAGACAGGTGTTAGCCAAGCGAAGCGAGCGAGAGCGACAGAGAGAGAGAGACAGACAGGTGTTAGCCTAACGAGCGCGAGAGCAAGAGGGGAAAAGAGAGAGAGAGAGAGAAAGGGGGAGGGACTGACGTAGAAGGTAGTGACAGTGCCGGCGGAGTAGCCGGGGATGAGCTTGAGCTGCATGGAGAATCGCCCAAAGAGGTACTCTTTCTTGGAGTGAAAGGAGGAGCCGCGACCGTTGCTTAGGGACAAGGCGATCAGCTGCCCGTTATCGAGCATCCTCCCCCCGGCATCGCCGCCTCCGACGAAGTCGAAGTCGTCGTAGAGGCTGCCGCTTGCCGCCGCCAGCCACAGCAGCAGCAGCGGCGCCGCCATGCGGAGACCCGAGGCCATGAGAGGAAGAAAGGTGGTGCAACGCCACCGTCGTGGTTCTCGCCGGAGTTTATAGAAGACGGTGGCGGTGGCCATTGAGCTGTCTTCCTCAGTCTAGAAAGAAAGGTCTTCTGGAACACCAGGTGTTCGATGCATGGTCTCTCTAATGACTCTGCTAAGCAGG